TCGGAATCACATTTACCAGTACTCATTGGAAATTAGTTCAATTGGCGCATTTCTGCAGAATTCTTTCGTGGGCCGGATAAAATCACATCGCGGGCCGTAGTTTGGAGACCCTTGGTCTCGAGGAAACGTGGAACCCTCTCACAACACTATGGTCCTTCACCTGCCTTCACGGTGTGTTACAGGGTAGCTTTACCTTTACCTTACCTCTGCTGAGGAATTCGCTCATTTCAAAGCTTTCTTCCAAAGTAGGCCAGAGGATGTACAACTTTGTTTATTTTTGTTCAAAATGGTTGAAGTGTTTCAAGATCATTCTGATAAATATATATGGATGCAATACATCCCTGAAGACAGAACTCTTCAATTGTTTAGCAATTATACAATGTATTTAGAGACACCTAATATTTCATTACACTCCAAAAAATTGTATTACCTGCTCAATACAACAGAGATGTTTCTTTGTTCTGTTTCGTTTTCTTTAAGCAAAAAATGTAATTTGGCTTTTTGTGCTTTTACTGCTAATGTATCAAGAATTATACCTGAGTCATTCAACTTGTATCCAGTTACACCACTCTTTAAGCATCAGAAAGAAAATAACAGCCAATTCAAATAACTATGTTTTACGAAGGTATATAAATTGGCAGTAAACATGACACATTAAAAATGCAATGTACTTCATTCTACAAAAAACACTAAAAAAATATTATCATTTATTAAAAACAGTAGTATTACAAACTTTGATGGAATCACACTGTATTGCATATAACATTCATATTATATTTGGCTTCTATTAATATTAGTCCAGTACTATTTTGTTTTACAATACTTTTAGGAATCTTAATACATCTCACTCATTATGGATAAAAGTTCTGAATTCCATATACACTGTTGGCAAAAGAGCTTCTTAGTATGAAATCATGAATTCAGGTACAAAGCTGTAGGTTCATTTCATCTGCCAACAGTTTTCTACCTTAAAATTGAAACATACCATACATTCTGATTATAAATAGAAAACTTAACAAGCAATGGGATTCAAGACTAATTTCTTCTAAACAGTGAAACAACATGGAACATGAAACATCATGAAACAAGAGAAATATGTACACCATACATCATGAGAATCATCCATTAGCCCTCTCCATGGTGCCATTAAAAACAGAAGAAGAAGAAGAAGAAGAAGAAGAGGTGGAGGAGGAAGAGGAAGAGGAAGAAGATCACTGGTCTCACTTTTCATGGTATCTACAATTTTCAAAGGTGAAAAGCCATAGCATTAGACTGAACTGTCAAGAGATGACAAGAATGCTTTGCTCTTAATTTTCAAACACTAAAGAAGAAATGGCCAGTTTCTACATGAAATTGATCATTTGTAGCATGGAAAGTTAAAATATGAACCCTATTTTAACATGGCATGAAACAAACACTGAAAATTACATATGATTGTATCAATGAATAATTTCTGCAAGCATGATCAAACAATGAAAAACAGTCTACTCAAGTAGACTTCCTATGGCTAAGCAAATTATATAATACAGGGAGGGTGCTCTGAAAAGGTAATTGTGACAGAAGATACAAAATGGAAAAGGCACCTCTCTAAATCACATTCTGCAAATGTAACTTTCTATTTCCATTTTACTAACAAACCTTGAAATGTGGTAAAAATTACTCTTCTTGAAACTTGTTATATTATCGATAAAAATGTTCCATTCATTTAAAATCGTTCGGCATTTCATGGATCTTCGATTTTGCTCCCTTGCATAAAATGCTCTCAATTGAAATTACCAGACTTAAAACTTAGTATTTCATAGTTTTCGCAACTGGTGGCTTCAAAAAGTTCCAAGGCAGAAGACACCAACATGCATCAGCTTTATTGAAGCCTGTGAGACATGCATGCCCCTGACACATAGCAGAATTCTTCAGTTGCCATTAAACAAGAACGCTTGATACATCCACACAAGAGCATAATGTGCAGATGTTCTGAAGTGGTGAAACCGACTACCCTGAGCACAGTGAAAACTCACTAAACACGATTCTGTGGTGCTTTCCCACCCAGTATACTGTTCAGATCTCACACTATCACTTCTAGAATGCAGTTGAAGTTCAGCTGTTCTGACCAACTGAACAGATTCTGGCAGAAGTGTGTAACTGCTGCTAGACTGTATTTTGGATAAACTGCCATCTAAGGGCTTTCAGTGCTACTATGATTGAGATATGACTCCTGTACCACAACTTTGTAAAACCTGACTTCTGCACATAGATTTCTACATAAATTATTACTCTTCCCTCCATTTAAAATACACTGTTTTGATAAACCAGTAGTGCTAGATCAAACTAATGTACCTGATAACAAATGTGGCATGTAAAAGGAGGGCAGGGAGGCATCCCTGCATTGACTAGAACAGTGACAGTATCCAGCTCAGCATGCACTGACATCTAAAATAGCTGCATTTCTCTTCCATTCACTTTTTTCATAAATATATTACACTTTGGCCAATGCGCATATTTCACTGAATAAAAATACAAATCTCCATTAGATTACAATATGAAATAAGAAGTGTTGTGCTCAGATAGGTATGGAATTGTATAGTGCAGTATTCATTTTGCCAGTTCTCAACATCATACATAAAGTACCTAATTTCCCAGCACACTTAAACACATGGAATAATAATGTTTGAAGAATGTTACATTTAAGAAAGTTGTCTTCTCAACCTCAAAACTTACAATGTTACATTTGTTCAGAAAAGTCATTTCTAAGTAAACTGAGTAGAAACTGGTCCATTAAAAAATCTTCCACTCTGTTCTTGTGTCATAGTAAGTATAGCATGAGAACACTGAAGCAATTTAATAGTTATTTCTTACTTTCTTCTATAAGCTTCGTTTGTAGATCTGCTTGTATAAGAAGAGGATGTAACGGAAAAAAGACTGAGACTGTCACAGTGACAAGTGATGAAAGTCTGTAGGCTAGAGCATTCTCTGTTGTGAATAATACAGTATGTGCCAAAATATACAGTACTGAAATGAAAAGCTGTCCTGTTGATACCACTGTCTATTCACGTGAAGGCCCCTTGTACAACAGAACCTTCTCGAATCCTGAAGAAATTGTCCGATCACCATGTCCCTGTAGCATTCTTGGGTGACGGTAAAAGCATTGCCTTCCTCATTCTCAATGAAATAGGAGCGTAATATACCGTGTGCTGAGATGGCACACCATATCGTCACATGTGTACAATGTAGCGGTTTCTGGACAATAACATCTGGCCACTAAAAACCAAGGAAGCGAGTTGTCTGGCAACCACTTCTGTATGAGCTGAAATAATACTCAACTATGAATACTTTTTCCTCCGTCGAGAGACCCATTTCCAACTGCGCAACACAACTACCTTTTCACTACTGGAACACGTGCGGCTGGAGCTATGCCCTGTCGACAAACGCACATGTGCATTCTAGATGCGCAAGTTTCAGTATTGCATATTTGGCGCATACTGCATGTACTGAAATTTGAGACTCTCATAGCAACAATCATAAATATTACTGTCTTCTGGCATGTGATGCTGGGTAATCTGGCAGACTGTTACCAAGGTTTTGGAGGAATGTGCTGTACTCAATGTCCTGAAGATGGAGACACCAAGTTTCTCCAAAACTTTGATAATGATCTACCAGATTATATGGTGCCACACCCAAGAAGACACTATTTTCAGCATACAGCGAATTTTAAATTACAGTGCAGTACATTGTGATAAAACTGTTTCACACTTAATGTCTTAAAATGGAGAATGATTTAAATGACCTTGTCTGATAGTACTTCAGATAGTTAGATTAGACGGCTTAGCAAAAGGTTAAAACATCACAGATGACATGTTCCATACCACACTTGTACTAAATTCTTAGTTTTCAAAAATATTGACAGACTTACAAAACCTTGTGGCTCTTTATGTTTAATATTTAAAAACTGTAATATATATATCGGATAGCTACTAAAATGTTCTAATGTACATACATACCATGAAAATTATACTGATACAAAAATAGAAAAAGCAAACCTGCTATGAAAGTTATGCTCATACTGAACTACACATAACAGGTAAATTATGATGACTAAAATTTTCAAAATAAAATATGCAGGAGTTGGGCAAAATAACAGAAACACTACAGATACTGTATACATTTCTTTATTACGTTCTGAAGAGATGAAAGCCATGATGCACAAGTGGGTGCAAACAACATAACGTCATTGCTTCTCTGCTGGAAATGAAGACATTCTGTATCACTAGGACTAACATCTTAATTGGTCTGGCAACTGTGTACTGAAATAGAAGGTCTCCATCGTACTTTGTTGTTCAGCACATCTATGCTGAAGTAATAAATATGAGTGGATGTTACATATTTGCTGAACAGCCTACATAGTTAGTTAGGATTATACCAATCTTTCACAACTTTTCACCTTAAGGTGCGAATTAAAGAAAAAAACAATCTGAGAGGCAATATACAGCTACACTAAATGTTATTACCGCCTCCTTCCACAATAATCTGCCATTAGTATTTAACCAGCATCACCATTATGGATGTATATATTCCAAAGTATAAATTAATAGAAGTTCAAAACACATATTTCAGACTATCTTACATTGAAAGAGCAGAAGGATTCGGCTTCAGAATATACATAACAAATCTCAGTATGGAAAAGGATGATGACTATATTCTCTTGATCTCAAATTATGCATAAACCAAAAAGATTCATTCCTGAAGTTAAAAACTGTCCACGATATCTGCCAGATTCAACTCTAAAAAAGTATGGACAATCTGGCTTTTTTCCTTCAACTTCAAGAACTGATCTTAATGTCTGCCTCAACTTTCACTTCCAGAAATAGTTTATGAAACTTCTGAATACCAACAAAAAATTACAAAGTGTTTTCCAGAGAATTGTCTGTATTTATGATTACAACAACAGTATCTGCTTCTTGAGTATTGCCTTCTTTGTTTGACATTAAATGAGCAGCACTTCCAATTTCTAATATTTGCTGTTCAGAACCCTGACTTACACTGTAAACTTCATCCTTTTTTGACAATGACTCTTGATGCAAAACCTGAATTGTGTTACTATCTCCACTTTCAATGAATTCTCCGTTTAAACACAGCTGCAGATTCTCACTTGACACAAGTTCAAAAACTTGTCCTGTTACAAAATCACTTCCTTCACCACCATTTGATAAGATAACAGTCTCAAACTCACCCTCTTCCAAGTCATTTCCTTGCAGTGCATCTGAAGTCTGTATATGAATAACCTGTGCATTATTTTTTGAATTGTCATCACTGTTTATACCTGACAGCATTTGCACTATGTGTGGTGCTACAGTGACTTGAGAGGCCTCACATTTAGGAGTGTCATCATTATGTATTCCTGCGAATGAAAGAGATACACACATCAATGTTATGCATAGTCTCTTGAAGATAATTTTGACCTGTCTGCCCATTTAAATGAAGAAATTATGAGAAGATTAAATTCCATAATCACCTCTTATTCTTCAAAACATAACCTGCTGCCATCCCACCTGCCTTCTCAACAGAAAACAATCACTTTACCAATTTAATGTGTATCATTGTAGAACAGTCTATTTATGTTGGAATTGAGATTCTCACAGTAATGACTGTAAACAGTACTATTTTCTTGAACATGACAGTGCATAGTCTTGTGAATGTTTACTGGACTACACAATGTCAACATTCAAGAAGATAGTACTTTTCATGGTGAACGTGTAATTATGCCACAGTGCAGCCATTTGTAAGACTAAGGACATGTGGATATAACATTAGGAAGATCTCACAGAGACACAGATTCCAAAGACTAGAACCGGCTCAGGATCATATACAACAGGAGGCTTTCATACTGGTGGAACTGAGAATATTGCCAGAGAATTTCTTATCAATTAGCTGCAACAGTTATTTTCAGCAAAGGTCTACAGAGGCACAGAAAAATCAAGAAGCTAAATGTGTGCATAACATAACATAATACAATATAAACATAAACATAAAATAATGAGGTACTTTCAGATATTTCTTCTGTTGCTCCCATCAATGGAGTAAAGATGAGTGAGATACAATAGGCCCTTGTTTAATATTCTCTCAGTTAATGTTGTTTCATTATTATGTTGATGTTATTTTTATAATAAGGCTCCATACACTAGTGTGTTAAGTCATCCATGTTTCAGCTGAAGATGAGTCTAATAGATTGTAACACCATAAAGCATTGGAATGTTGCAGAGTCTTCAATACTACAAGTTTCTCAAAGATAAGAAGCAAACCCAGCAGTTAACATTAGAAGAACCTCTGGGTCTCAATGAATCTCACACCAACTTCCAACAGCAGCACAATAACAGGGAAGATATCTCACCTACTTTCTCTAAAGGCAAACCAGGCACCCCCCCCCCCAACCCATTTTTGGGAGGAAAATAAAAATTGAAGAAAATGAGGAAATACATCAAACATTAATATTACAAACCAAACAAATTCTTAAAAAAACATATTGTCCTAATAAATCTACAACAATGCTACATGTCCCACCCACCTCAATCTCCCTGATCTCATGGCCTAATCATATTTGTCAAAGAATACAAATTATGAGGCTCCTCAGCCTAACACTCATGACATCTTCAAATTACTTCCTGCCTGTATCTCTTAGGTCCTCAACACTGTTCTAAACTTTCCTCCACAATCTATATTCTTCCCTTAGGGCAACACAAAGTTTCAGTACTAAAACTGTGGTAACCATATGCAAAAAAAAAACATACTTTTTTAAATTATTAACAGTACTGAAGCCAGATGGTAAGTAAATGCGGTGTTTATTTCTCTAGACTAAAAGATGTCAGCATTCTGATGAAATGAAAATAAGAGGGGAGAGATTTTAGCACTGCTCATGTACCCAAAATTAATCAAGATTTAAGTTTCAATAAAAAAAGCTTATCCTTAATATATCTTCTGTTATTCCTCAATTTTTATTCTTCTTCATTTCTGTTGTCTTACTATATCTGGGGGAGGGGGAGGAGATGCCATACACACTGTTAGAAGAAAACCAAAAGATATTTGCATTGTGACATGACTATGTGGTCCACTGCAAGGAGACGGCTGGGTAAACACGTTTCCGCAGCAACAAACGGGCAAGTAACAATCAAAGACATTGTTGAAATGGTGTTCTCTATGAGGTCCATGCCGATGCTATATAGTGAGAGCTAGCAGCCAGCACAGACAGTTGCATATTTGTGAGGACAGGAGTTTTAAAGGTGGCAAATGCTAATACAGTGCTGGCATGTAAGCCGTCGGCAGTCTCTTAGTTTGCTTGGGAGAAGGCTGGCTCCTCCACTTTGCCCTGTCAATGCAACTGTCTGACAGTAATAAATATCTGGTCTTGGGCCCCAGGTAGGGGATTAACACCACAACAGACTGGCCAAGTGACCATCGATCATAACATTACTTTGACTCTGACTTGTAGTAGACAGTATTGAGTTGAGATTTGACAGATGGAGTAATGAGTTAGTTGAGAAGGTAGCCAACTGGTTATGACATAAGCATGAAAGCAGAAAACTCTCCATTGCTGAGAACAGTAACTGAGCAACAAACAGTGAAGGCTATAACAGACTAAGACCCACCATGTGCTACGGTGATTTGTTAAGTGTGTAGATTAGCAAGTTATAAGAGCGCCATATATCCAATTATCAATCCAAAACCCAGTGTCTAGTCACTAACATGTGACAGTATATTCCAGCATACCTGATAATAAGTCCACTTGGACAATGTGTGGTGGAGAAGATAGGTCTTCATCATTCACCATGTCTACAAAATTATCTGCATTCTGTGCTGCTACTTGAAGAATTAATGTGGCTGGATCAACTACTTCTTCCCCTTCAAGTTTTACAGTTTCTGCCTTTGAATTTAATGATGCCATTTTACCAGGACGTGAATGATAAGAATGTTCTGGTGTATGAATCCGATTCATGCGCTTGATTTTGGCTTGTTCTACTTCATCTTTTATACGCTTCTGCTTCTCATTTTCTCGTGCCCTCAGTTCATCCAGAGTTACACTGCGGCCAAGTTTTGTAGACAGGTCTTTCAGGTACTGTTCGGTGACTCTTTGGCCCTTTTCTATCCATTCTGGGTTCATCTTATTTGTTGCAAATGCCCCAGATTCCTGATCAGCTTTGTATCTGAACAAAAAAATGTGTATAAAATCATAACACGTCATGCCATAATTAAATCTTACTTATCATGATATCAAAATACGTTTAATGAGTATTATATACTTATTTTATATTTCCTGATTAATTAATAATACTGCCAGTTGATAAAGCAAACAGTGTATGATCAGAAAATTTCTTCATTCAGTAGCACTTACTTTCTGTATGAGAAATGTGGCATGTGATGGATCGTCTTCACGTGTTTGGTCATATTACCTTGAGTATTACACAAATATGTGCAAAATGGGCAAGAAAATGGCTTTGCTTTGGTGTGTATTACACTATGACGTAGTAAATGATGCTTTGTTTGGAACGTCTTGCAACAGTGGGAACAAGGAAACTTCCTTGGCTCATGTACAGATTTACGATGCACTGTCAATCTTGCCAGGCAAGCAAACGAGCTCTCACACTGCCCACATCTGAAACAACAAATTGATGAGGACTAAATTAAGACTGAGATTTTACTACAGACTTCACTCATAGCTATACAAATCCCAGATCACAATATCCATTTGTCCATCAAAGGGTATTCTAGTGTACATGTTCTGATTTGTGTCAGTACACTGAAGCATTATAAATATTGATGGCTATCAACGCTGTATACACATAAATGTATGCAAAGGGTAGTCAATGTGGTTACCTAGTTTAGTGAGTTGACTTGTTCAAGTGTTGCAGCTGTAACAGTATGAATGCAAATAAATATGAATATGAATATGAATATGAATACCTAGCACATGGAATACACTGTTGAAACTCAAAATAAATGAAACAAACAAACAAGGAAAGAAAGTCTATTTTTCATTTTGCAGGATTCAAAATGAATTTTCAGCCTTCTCTGGTACAGACATTGATGTAATACAAAATGGAGCATAATGGACCAATAACTGGTCTAAGTGCATGGGGAAACCCACCTCCAACAATGAATGAATACAAAATGGAAAAAAAAATTCATTGTACTAACAAATCTTGTGTCCAATTACCGCATGCAAAGTTAGTTCTGAACCCCCTAAAATGCAGCTTATATAACAGTAAGCATAATCTCTATAAAAATTCACATGCAATTAAACATTTGCAGTGCCAGGATCAATTAGGCAGACAGTAAAAGCTACTGTACATCGTCTTTCCTATAGAACCAACAACTGCAGAGAAACCATTACCTACAAACATTTTCAGCCTCTTGTTATTAAAGCCATGCTGAGTAAAGTTCGTCTCAATATGGCCAGGAAACATGCCAAGAGACACTGATGTTTCAGATACAGACAGGAGGATAACATCAAAATTATTCTTAGAATAATAAGAAGTGACAACGTGGATTAAATTCCACTGTCTTATGAAGATCCCCAATGATGCGCTTTAGTGAACAGGGTGACAAATCTCCTAGTACTATAAGACTTGGATTCTTCTTGTCCAGGTGAATTCTTATATAGTGTCCAAGAAGATACTTTATTATGGATGTGGTTAACAGTCAAAAACTCAACAAACATGGGCACTTTATGTACTTACTTGCACTACATTTCATAAATATATCATTAATAAATTCCTGTTTCAGAAAATTTTAAAAATTAGCATCTCTTTTTTGTATCGTAATGAATTTCTGCAACAGTGAAAACGTGCCAATTTAAACACCAGAACCTTAGCCATCAGTTTCTCCCAGTGAGTGAATCACTGTTGATGGTAAACAGCACCATTTGGTTTCTTCCTTCTCATATTGTTTGTTTCAGTCAGTACCACAGATTTGAAACTGATTACTGTTCATCAGAGTATAAATGCATATACTGTTCTGCATATTTAACTTTAGTACTATTTACTATGTGCACACTGTCTCGGATCACTTTATCAATTTCCCATTCAAATTTCAGTGGGCTTTATGGTAGGTAGAAATAACTTCATAAAAAAATATCTAACCTCAACAACTTGAAAAGTCCTGAATAGGCAGCCACACTTTTACTGAAGTACAAATCTTGATGGAATAACAATATGTGGCAACTTTAACCAACCACCTAAATTCTTCTTCTGTATAACTGGCAACAGACCACCATAATGGCATTGCCTAGTTCAGCACTAGGCAACAAAAATTTACCTCTTCCAGTCACAACTTAACCAACAATATACCAAATGATTTGGTTCAAAAGCAACACTCTAAACTTGTGCCCCAGTTTGAATTTCAGCCAGGACACCAACCAACCAGAAGTTTTTTTGTGATTTTCCTCTGACCCTCCTGGCAAATGTCAGCATGGTATCCCTCCAATCCTTCATTCAGCAGTCAGCCTAACAACTGTTAGTATATATTCTAGATACTGACAGTGCAGCCATATAACCCCCCCCCAATTGAACAACTATAATAGTCAGCAAGTGTGGAATAATTTGACCTTCAGATTCAAAATAAATAGACGCTTTACAAATTTCACTTACAGCTATTATTACAAAATTACCACCACATGCTCCACCCTTCCTCATGCACATTTTTTAATCCTCCTTTTTATTATTACTCTGTAGTTTAACATTATTCTGAATGATCTGAAATGCAATAAATGGGAGAAATGTTGAAATAAACAATTCCCATCCCTATCTACAGTTTCCACAAACAAACCCCTCCACTGATTCACTCTTACACATTAAATCATGGTTTCACTAAATACCCATGCTATTAGCAACAGGAATTTGCTTTTGATGAAGACAGACACAGCAGCAACTGATGAAGCACAGGTACCTATCACCGGCATCTGGTGATCCTATTTGTAATTATTACTAATGATGACTTCTAGGTAAGGACAGAAATGCAGACCTTCGGCTTTCATACACCTGGATTATTGCATTTACATTAATTACAAAAGAATTTTTCTCTCACAGATTAGTCTCAAGGAACACATCAGCTTCGTGACTTATGGTATTAGTGCATATCATCTTTAGAAACTGGTATTAAAAGACAAATATAACAAAAATAGTCTTCTCCATACTGTACTTGAACTCATGTACATTCACTTATGTGAACTGTTAAACATAACATAACATGCAAAGCTATGATGAACATTACCACTATATCACAAGGCATTAATAACTGCCCAGAAAATGACTATTTTCCATGGTTTGACAGCCACTTGAGTTCTAGTAACATATTAATAACACAGCACTACCAATAAAATTAACAAAATACCTGTAAGGTTTCTCCCCAGTATGTGAACGCATATGTTCAAGGAACGCATTCCGCTGTTTAACACGTGCACTACATACTGGACAAACATGGTTGTTGTATTCCCCACGATGCCTCATACGAATATGTACTCTCAGGTTATTGGCCCGGTATGTTGTAAAGCCACACTATTCAAACAAGTGAAAATATAAGTGATATTTATCAACTGAACATTACTGATGAACACCTTAGTGTGTGAAACCCTTGCAATTTATAATCTGTAAGGTAAACCACATTATTGTTCAATACAACTGCACTAATGGTCCCTGCAACATTGGAATGATAAGCAATGAATTTAACAGTCACATCCATGACCATCAGATCAGCATTATAAGACAAAGCAGTGCATTCCTTTATATACCATTAATAAGAGATGGATAACCAGGATTCAGTTATCACTAAGGTTAAGACTTTCTGCCACCATATACTAGCTTCAGGGACCACTCAGTCTCCTGTCCAATGGGTTACAGGATGTAAAGTGACCAGGGAATGAAGATATGACCATTCATCTTTGCCCAGGATCAATAATAATTAAATAATCCCCCCCACCAACCATATAAACATGATGGTTATGCACAAGGATAATTCTTCCTTTAAATAACACAATTAAAAAAAAACACAGACTGGGGGCACGTGATAGCGTAGTTGGTTGAGGCACTATGCTACAAGCCGGAAGGTCACGGGTTCAAGTCCCAATGTGGTCACTGGATTTTTTCAATTGACCTAATCCTTCCAGCTGCATTGTGGTCCTGGGGTCAACTCAGCCTCTAACTGAAATGAGTACCAGGAATATTCTTGGGGGTAAAGGGTGGCCGGCGTATAGGGCTGACAACCTTGCTGCAATCTATGAGCTGATTGTCTAGAAAATGTGGGAACCTCAACATCTCATAACCTTATGGGCCTCCATGGCCTGTTACAGGGATAGCTTTAATTTACTTTTACTTTTACTGCCAGACTACTCATTACTTAATGGCTTCCACTTCACTGACATAACTACACAGCTTCCATCAGTACAGCACAAAGTAATGAAAAAACACTCATGTCCATGTAAAGATGTGTACAAATTAGAAGTAATTTTATTTCATGTTTCCAGAAAATAAACACACAGTAGTTACACATAATTTGCTTATCTATGGGTCACCTTCCTTTGCAATCCATCTGATGTAATGGCTCACATGTATCCTCATTCCATCAAAGAAGAATTTTTCAGTTGTCTTAAACATTGCTTCTACCGGTGAATGAGCCTCATTTCAGACAAAATTTAATCAGTGCTAATTCTACAGCTACCTCAGATACGCTGAATAATTTCCTCTTTAACCTCAACACTTGTTAAAATCAATGACTGCCACAAATATACATCTTTAATAACAATTGCATTCCATTCTCTGACCTTTCCATCCAACACAATCTTTCTTTCTGGCTACATAGTTATCACCATTGTGAGCTGTATTTCATCTGTAAATTTCACCACTTTTCACACCCTTTAACTGCAGAAATTGGCATATTCCACCAACATAGCAGCCAAGTGAAACATTCACACTAATATCACTACTCAAAAAGAGAAAGAAACCACTAGATGGAAATGAAGGGTAATACTATTTGTACATGCCATCTCTTTCAGAGCTTCCAACAGCATATCGAAGACAAATTAAAAGTGTCTTTACTGTATGACTTTCCTTCATACATGCACACATATATGCATGCAATGCGAAGGGTTCACATAGTGCCGCCACCCTCCCCGACAAGTTTGAAATAATAAGAAATATTTTATTTACAATAATATTTGGACATGAAGGGACCAAAATTATGTAAACATCATTTATTTCAGATTCCACATAATTAATTTTCACTTTTCAATCATCCACAAATTATATCCCTAGATACCTTACCAGTGCAAAGTGTCTGCATTCTTCTGGACGTGAACACTATAATATGCATATTAATAGAGAGGATTATGACTGATTATGAAACCATGTAGTCTGGTATGCAAGTACCAACATTTCAGAAGAACACACTGGTATTCTCTGTCATCTATCCAGTTGATGAAGGCAGCATGACCCGCCAAAAAGTTCATAAAACCTGTTAGGTTATATTGTCATAAACCAGACTACCACAATATGAAACTTCACAAATCATGAAAACCTCAAATATGATATGAAGAGAGATTGCTCACCTCACTACACACATGTTTGGAAGATCTTTCATGAATACTACGAACATGTTCTCGGAGTGTTGAATCCTTGGCATATGCTTTGCCACAGTACTGGCAAACTTGATTACGTTCACCTGTGTGAACAGTCATGTGACGTAGTTTGTCTACTCTTGTGTAAGCCCGATATTCACAATAATCACAAGGATAATCTCGCTGGCCTCTGTGACGTTTCATATGAATATCTGTGGTAAAAACAAAAACAAAAATAACAATAATAATAACAATAACAACAACAACAACAACAACAACAATAATAATAATAATAATAATAATGATGATGCCATAACTTATTTTAACAGAAAACTCTAATGAATGCATGATGGTAATACAAATACATTATTTCTTGCTATTACAAAACATAGGTCAACTTTTTTATGACTTTGAGAGATTTCAAATTTCAAAGATTTGGAACAAAGTACTCGGATAAAAAACTGATCCTAAGCATGATGAAGGTAAACAAAGTAAAGGTATCCCTGCAACAGGAAATGGAGGCCCATAGGGTTGTGAGATGTTGAGGTTCTCACATTTCCTAGACAATCAGCTCATAGATGGCGGTAAGGTTGTCAGCCTTAGGCGCTGGCCGCCCTTTACCCCCAAGAATATTCCTGGTATTCATTTCTGTTAGAGGCTGAGTTGACCCCAGGGCCATAGTGTGGCTGGAAGGATTAGTTCAATTGAAAAAATTCACCTCATCGGGATTTGATCCTGTGGCCATCTGGCTTGTAGCATGGTGCCTCAACCAACTATACTACTGTGTGCCCCAAGCATGATGAAATCAGGGGGAAAGTACATAAGAATAAACTTGTTGATTGATAAACATCACTTAGTATTGTTAGGGTAGCAAAATTAAGGGCATTAACTGAGATGAGAAAGACAAGAAATACATAAATTTTCAAATGGCTAGATGGAAACAAAGATAAGAACATAACATGTAAGAGGATTTGAGGGAAATAACATGCGAGTATGTGTCATGAACGAAACTGGCCGCAGTTCATGTCCAAAGGGTGATTTGGCATTAGTGTTACTGAACCTTTGAGACCCACAATTACTTTACTCCTTGTTATTTGGCATGTGTGGGGAATGAGAGTTTGTTAGAATGAATCTGCAGTTACATACAAAAAAAAAAAACTCTTATAGAAACTCGATACAAAGTCAAAACAACACATTTTTGCAGTAGTTCTCGCGTGGGGGCCTTCCTAGGTGACAAAGCAGATGATGGATGGAAGATTTTGGCTTACATATGCTGTCACATGATCACATACTCAATTAGCTTCTACTGTAATGGCCCTGTATAATAAATGGTGAAGGGTAGCACTACCAACAACAGCTAACAGAACTACTGCATGGTGCAGGAACATACATGCACTGAAAATTTTGTTTTTGAATAACTTCATAAAAATGGCAAATTATGTTTGAACTTTTTGCTGGTTGGATGAGAGCTCCAGATGCTTGGATAGAAGATAACTTGGAATTCACTGTAACAGGAGAAGATCTGTGGCTATGCATGTGTTATCTGACTGTGTGCATGTTGTGTTGTTCTCATGCTGTAGCAGTTTCATGCACTTACAAAGATGGTGGCTTTATCTTCAAAACTACGTCACCTGGAGAATAAATCAATAGTTTAATTCTCAGTTTTCATGGAGAAAGGAGATAAAGAGATAAAAGTATGAAAGCTTTAAAGGAAAGAAAGGAATGAAGGACAAAGATATAAAAGAAATTATTCCCCACTGAATTTCAATGGGCTTTTCCACAAGTAAAATAAATTTAACTGATGATGCTACATTAAAAGCAGTCCTTTTAAGCATCACTGAAAAAATGTCTGCCTTGATAATAAATAAGAATGCCCCTTGGAGGAATTAACAATTTTACCCTTCTGCAGAACTGATGTTCACACATTAAAATCAAAATCCTAGTTCTGACCAAGGCTGACAGAATAGATATTATTCTGCAGAGCTGTATTTGTGTGCATTTCATTAACTACCATATCATTCAACACTATATACTATAGTCTGGGCTAGTGATAGAGCTGAAACCATAAATAAATACATATATAAGTAAAAATATCTTAGCATCATATTGTGTATGTGAAATTTCTTTATTTTCTTCTGTCACCACAATAGGTAGTATGGACACACCATATATCCACTGTTTCTTATATGTTTTGGCTCCTTAAGCCATCATCAAGTATTTGACTTTTTTTACATTCACCTGTATTTGTCTGTTAGTATTCCTACAATGGCAAGTATTTACATATTGGAATACTGTTTTTAGTAGTATGTAAAAGAAGATTAAATATTAATTGTTAAAATATTAAATCATTAAAATTAAACATTTTGGGGCATATTTGTTCAAAATAAGAACTGTGGAGGCAGAGAAACAGCCATTGCTAGGTAATGGCCCATACACATGCAGCACAGAAAAGTGTCACACATGCTACAATGTCATGCAACAATAGAAGAGGTGTTGCTAGTGGCATTCTTTGTGGGTCCACACAGTGCTCACAATTACACAACTGTGTGGTACAAATATCTCTGCAGCAGTGAATCAACATGAAACAACAGAGGAAGCGGTGTTTTCTGTGGGCCCATCCCGAGGCTATATAACAAGGATCTCATGCAGCCAAAATGAGAATTGAGTCAAGTTCTGGAGTTGGCAGTTGCAGCAGAGAATTGAGAGTGTCAGCAATCAAAGGTGATTGAGAATAATCGCAAGAAATGAATTAGGCTGTGCAAGGAAGACTTCATGTGTGATTTGAAGTTACAGTGAGACTGTTATGAATTTGTTGCCATGAAACAAGTACTGGAGAGTGTAATAAACTGAAGACACTAGTGTGTTTGCAGCAGTGAACTGTAAAGTGTGGAGATTAGTGTTATCACTGTAATTGCCTGTAGTTCCAAGTGTCATGTAGAAGGTGTCAATATATCCAATCATCCAATCCAAAACCCATCTATAAGTCACAAACAACCCCTATACATGTCAATACATGTCTTATGTTTTGTCCAGATGTAGCAGTTGTATGTAGACATGTCTCTTCTACTGATGTATTTCTTTGTGGTTCTTCCTGGTCTTGTGTTGATGTAGTATATGTTTTGTTGACTTGTAGGTATATGACTATGTTTTCTCCTTGTTTGTGTTCTTTGCATTTCAGAGAAGTGTTATGTCTTGTATTTGGTGGTTGTAAAACTGATCTGATATTTAAACTCAGAGGTGAACACAAATTTATATATCTCTCATCCAAGAAGTCCTACCAAATGCTTAAGATCTAGTAAACTGAAGTGAAACAGAGAGTGTCATGGAGGCAGGCCTAGGCCCAAATTGGGGCTGCAGCGCCACAGAAAAAAAAAATATATATATATACACACACAAAGATGTCCAACAAGTCACGCCACAGCTTTATAAGGCTATAATCTCTCAACCATTTTACAAACAAAGCATACAATTCATTGAAAGTAAGTTTAACTCAAAAAGTTTGTCAACAATTTCCATGTGCAATCCTACAGCAGCACAACAAATATCTAGCCAATAACCTATTTCAGATGATCTCTGGAGTTACTGTCATTGCAGATGCAGTGATCTGAAGTCTCCTAAAATCCTGGAGTGACTTTCAAGACAATCTACATGCATGCATGCACATACACAAACACATATATATATATATATAGGATCCTATCTGAAATGGCTTTTTAAAAATGTTCTTTTCATCTTCTTCAAAGTAATTATATTTCACCTGTTACTGGTAAACACTGTAATTCCATTATTATGCCATTTGGTGCCATCTCATGAAACCGGCATTCATAAAATCTAAACTCCTTTAAACACCAACCAATCTTTGTTTCTAATGTTTGAGCTATGACATAGGGAACCAAAACACAGAACAGTGAGATTTTTAAGAGCAATATTTTATATGAAAACATGGTTCTCATCACTTAAGTTTGATGCCTATATTATAAAGTTAAGCTACACATACACAAAACATTCAAGTCTTACTCAGGCCTGATGATTGTGGAAAAGCTTTGCCACAGTCTGGACATACGTAAGGTCTGATTCCAGTATGGCGACGAGTATGGATTTCTAGTAATGACCTGCTACTTGTCATGAATTTACAGTCTTGGCAAGTCAATTTGTCAGTCCGAGGGCCTCTGCGCTTTCTCCAAAGGACTGAACCTGATGTAGTACGTGAACATTCTTGCACTCCTGCAACAAAACAGCTGCATAAACAACATATGTGAACAGAAACTGATCCTTAAAATTAAAAAGCTGAAGTACAGGTGGAGGATAATATTGAAAAAGTTCTAAGTGAGACAGTGTATGAAGATGTGGATTAAATAAAACTGACTTAGGAAAGGTTATAATGATGGGCTTTTGTAAATGCAGCAATAAACTTTCTGGTTCTATAAATGCAGGAAATTTCTTGATTTGCTGAGTAACTATCAATTTTTCAAGGAAGATTCAGTAACACGAAGTCAGATGCCGAGTTCACTCAGCACCCAATATGAAGCCAAATAGTGGGCATGCAGATAAACTTCCACCCATTCACAACTTCAACATTACATGGATAGTTCAGTTGTATGATATTTAATGACAGTGTCCTGAATGCAGAAATTATTTACTATCAAATAGGCAAGATAACAATTCTGTATTGTGAATAATAAAGGTCAAAGAAAATAGCCATAACTCTTTTCTTGGTATTGTCTAAGCTCTCATTTAGACTGACAGAGGAATCGGGGCATTCAATGGCACCAGGTAAGATTCAAAATAAGCATCTACTTAACATAAGCCTCAGTACTACTCAGCTAATATTCCCTGTTGCCCAGTGGGGTTTAGGCTAATTACAATGACAAATTTGGATAAGGAAACCTGAATATATTGCCATTCGGTAACTTAACCTGCATACATATATGTCCCAGACAACAGCAGAGTTGGCAAAGGTACACCACTGGCAACACAGTATATTCAGACATCCTTATCCAAGCCTGTCTGTGTATCAAGTCACATTTTGTTCTCACCTTTTTCCGTTTTCATTTTTTCTTCAGAGTCATTGCGGTTTATTATATTATTCTGCTGTTCTGAGGGCCTTGAATTTTCAGTCTGTGTATCCTCTGGAACTGCAGATGGGTCATCAACCACCTCAGGGTTCTCATTTTCTAGGACTTCTGTGTTAATACATACTGCTGAAACCGTTTTGTCAGGTACAGAAACTTCATTTACCTCATCTGTTATTTTAGCTAAAATCCCTGCATTGGATACAATACTGTCAGGATTTACATTCTGTTCTTTAATTTCAAAGTCAACAATTTTTCTTGATGGGACTGTTGGTCTCATTACTGGCAATTCTAGCTCAACATTATTGGCACAATATTGAATTTCTTTCTTTTTCTTCTTCTCTTCACTGATATTCTTCGGCTTTTCATAAAAATCTTCATGGTTCTTCCCATATCCATGCATGTGAGCATAGCTGATTCTCTTCGCTCTACGTCCTCTCCTAGTAAGCACAGCTTCAACAACATACTCTGTGTACAAATAAAAATACAGAAATATTTAAGACTTTTTTATCTATGAATAGGATTCAACAAATCTGTTCAAATGCATATAATTTCTAAGACTGAAGAGCCCATGAAAAAACTTTATGATATACTGATCAACAGCAGAATTAGCCAGGTTTGTGGTTGAGGCAAGTTAAAATACCTGTGCTGCCCTCCTGTTTACGGAGCCAAGAAACAAACATGTGACAGCAACTTATATGACACGCTTTTGAGTCATGACTTGGAATATGAAGTTAGGGTTTAAAAAAGTTCTTAACTAAGGCAAAGGTAAAGTTTTCCCTGTGCCTAACTAATTAAGCACTATTCCATGAAGGCATGTGGGACTGGATGTATAAATCCACATTTTCTCGGCCTCAGCACTAGCTGGAGGTGAGTGGTCAGCTTCATGCCCCTGCCACTTCAACCCTGGGGAAAGAGCCCCTGGTACCCATTAAATACCAGGTTTTCCATCTATAATGCAACAATATTAATTTAACATTAATTCACATGCAATTCACTAAATGTTTGTTAAATATTTAAAATGTCATTAAAATTATTAAAATATATATCTACATTTGGTGTTATGCTACATGTTTCAGCTGCATAGGGCCACCTTCATGGAACATATTCTTTAAAGGGGTCTACTGCACTTCGCACTTGGTCAAACAATATTCATTAAGGAACATCATTGTTGTTATTATTAATTTTTTAATTCTGATGTTGTAGGATAATTTTATAGGGAGGTTTTCTTCCAATCTTATATATTGCAGCTGTTTTCGTGTCCTATTGGGTGTGCTGCTCTTATAGTTGTGTGCATCTAGTGTTGCTTTGTGTTCCTCAACAGTCAAACCCAGGACTTTTCAATCAGAGGCCCTTGACCAACTACATCTGGTATCAATGGAATTTACCTTGTGCAGTTAAAAGGTATTTTAAATAGTCAACAAAGTCTTCTGACTGACTACACTTGGTATTAACTTTAACTTTAACTTTAGTTTTCTTGTTCCATCACGTCCATTTGAGGCCAAAGCCTAGATACAGAATTGTGTCAATTTACCTCACGCAGTTAAGTACTGTATACATTACTATTAACTTGTGTAATTCCATATTCACAGAATACCTAGGTATTCCACAGGATAACTAATGAAGAGTAGGTAATGTGTGGAGTAAAGCAAGAGTTTCTGAATTTTACTCCATCTCAATTAAGCTAACCAAACCAAATGGAATACTCAGTGAAACCCTCATCTTACATTTAAATGCTCTCAACCACTTACTTTTTGAAACAATTAGGTACTTTGTAATGTAAAAAAGTTCATGTGCAATTTCTTTTCATTACATACTTTAACTGAATAAGTAATTCATGTACCGTACAAAATGCCTCTGTGTTTTGTGAAGTAACAGAATTTCACACTTTTAACGATGTTACAATCAAGATATTAGAAAACAGAACAATAATTATGTCATCAATCAATTACAAATAAATCATCAGGGTATCTTTCCTTCAAGGAAATTTCTGGACTGCAATTGCTAAACCATCTTACCATGTGTCACAGTTTAGTTACACTTCTGATGGTGGCTGTACTTGGGCTTCTTTCGCACACACCCATGAAACCCAAATCTCACAAGGGCTTACTAGACCCAACACAAACTTAGATAATTTATCGTGTCTCCAAACGTGGTTTGATGTATAAACATATAACCATATGTAAATACAGTCAAAAATATTCAGCTAGTTCATTTACAGAAGAATGGTAAGGAAGAGTGTAACTATGTCAAAACACTGAGTCAGCTAAAGATACAAGTAATTAAATACAGTTGTAACTGCCTCGGTGAAAGGCCCATTGAATTGGTCTTCCATGTAACACCGCGATGTGAACACACACTGTTTTTACACAAGTGCTTTTTTGATTTGTGTTTCATTTTGTCTGTGATGGGTGGCAAAATCAAGCAATGTGTCTGCATCAAGTTTTGTGTGAAGCTCAGTAAATCCACTATCAAAACCCTTGAAATGCTTTGTGAGCCTTTTGGAGAACATTCTTTAAGCAGGATAGCAGTTTTTGAATGGCATTCACGGTCAAGTGTCAGTTGAAGACGAACGTTCAAGGTGACCAAGCACTAGCAAAATGACAGAAAATGCTGAAGAAATTTTGAGAACTCATCCATCAACACCGTCACTGAACAATCCACGAACTCAGAGACACTATTGGGATCGGTTATGGAGTTTGCCAGGAAATTTTAACAGAAAATTTGAACATGCACCACACTGCTCCTTCAGCACAACAATGCTCCCACCCACACATCCCTGAAAACCACAGAGTTTGTGACTAACAGCAACACAGTTATCATTCCCCATCCTCCTTGCTGTGATTTTACTTTGTTTCCCAAACTGAAAATGAAACTGATAGGACGATGTTGTGAAACAGTGTCCAACATCCAAAGGGAACTGCAAGCAGTATTTGACAGCATTAAGGAAAATGACTTCAACAGTTCTACTGAAACGTGGAAAAACAGGCAGGATCACTGTATACGTTCTCAAGGAGAATATTCTGAAGGAGATAGCAACCAAAATTGGGTAGGTTATGCCAGCATTTCTTTTTTGACATAGTCCAGGAACTTTCTGATAGCACCTTGTACACTAAATAACAGGAATAATGATTCTCAGAATCAGTAATAAGATAACTGTGGTGCAACCAACAGAAACTTCTGTGTATATAATTTACCACATGATGATGATGATGATGATGATGGTGATGCTGTATCTGGAATGTATAGGACTGAATAATAGGATGACTGACAAACTGAAAAGGATCTGGAAGGAAGCAGTCATGGCCTTGAAGTACTAGCCCAACAATTGCTTGGGGGAACTAAGTAAAACCAAGAAAATTTAGTCAAGACAGCCAGTGTCCCAGCCAAGGTTGAAACCAAGCACCTCTTCAATACTGCAAGTCTATGTTACCACTAGACCACCCTGTTCAGTATGATGATGATGACAATTATGATCACAGTAATGAAAAACAGAGGAAGTGATGGTGGGCAGTGTACATAAGAAAACATTTAGCATGTCATCTATCTTCTGGTCCAGTTTTGCCCATCACAAAACCAGCACTGAATAGCAAGTTTTCACACCTGGACTTGCTTGGTGGAATGGTGAAGTGCTACTCATCACTTAAAAGAAATCTTAAAGTAATTTACAACAAAATTAACCATTATCAGTAATTTCAAAGTAGGCCATAAGTGGCCCATTCCAATTCAGTGAATATCTTCCCAGCATTTTCTCATTCTTCCAACATCTAGGATTCATTTAGATCTGAAATGCACAACACGTTTGGTGACATCTGATCCTTCCATACATTGAATATGCTGACATCAGTCAACGTTACATTCCTCAATCATTTCATTTACATTACAGACATCTAAAAGTTTCCAGAACTTTTCACTTGGCCTTTAATGTTTCCATAAACAAATCTCATGGATATATTTTCTCAGTAAAACTGTTAGTCTAAATTAACAGAATTTACGTGTGATATACAATAACTCAAACTAACTGGGATGTCTTGTTTCTTTGCAATGTTAACAGGCCAAAATTTATACTTGCCTGTTTCAATGTTTTCCGAGTACCATGAATTTTCAGTTTTATTTTCATCACATATGCTTTCATAAACTTGGGCTTTGCGCTTTCTTCCAGGACGTTTCCTTCTTCCACTTACACGAGTGTCTTTGCCTGAGGTGACATAATTAATAAATTAGGTTAGGTAATCAAAGAAAAAATATACATTCCCTCTTTATGTGATCATTTCGTTCTTACGGTACTTACAGAGTTTATCTTGAAGTGGCAACTTTTCCTGAATTTTATTAAATGCAACCCGTTTAAGATTTTCTGGAAGTGATTCGAGCTTCTTGAAAAGATTTTCAACCTGAAACGATTCAGCATTCGCAAAGGTATAACACACGTGAATTTTGTATCAGTAGTATATTAAATGTTATTTCAAACTGTATTCCAATTGTTAAGGCAACAGAATGTCATATTTAATTAATTACATACATATCAACACGCTACTTACTTCATCTAGTACGTTAGTGTTTTCATCTAAATCCATAATAAATTGTTTTTATGGAGACCTTTCCCGTTCAAAACGCAACATACACTTCCATATGAAACTGACACTGCAATGGCTACTACGAACGTCATATCCCCCATACTATCGTCAAAAACATGACAATCGTGTTGCGGGAGAATTGATTAATGTTTAAGATGGTCATATAATACAGAATGAGTAATTACCAACTTCATTATTTGCGCCCATGGACATTATAACAGATAACATAATATTGGACTGTATTAAGTGCCATTCGTCGTTTGGCACTGTATTCACATGCTTCAAAGTTACAGAAAATTACTGTGTTTTCCATTTGCCAAAGTGGTTTCTAATTTTAAATCAGTCATGTCAGTGGATAACGGTAATAATTAATACGTGTTGTGATTCGCATTCTGTCTCAATTCCAGCATCAGATAATATCGCCACCAATCGCCGTATATTGATATTCTCCAGTTGGGGAGAATGAAATTGCAGAATGTAGAATGAAACTGTATTTGGATGACTAACATATTTCTCATACGTCAGGTATTTCGGAAAGCAAATTGCAACGTACCTGCAGAATTCCTGTTAGGTACTCTTTCTAAATCTAGTGATTAGCTACGGGTTGGACGACCGAGGGGTCAGAGTTCGTGTCCCAGTAGGGTCAAGAATTTTCTCTTCTCCACATAGTCCAGAAAGGTTCTGGGGTCCACCCAACCTCCTATCCAATCGGTGCAGGGGCTTTTTCCCCGGGAGTAAAGCGGCCGGGGAGTGTAGCTGACAACTCATCTCGAACTAGTGCCAAGGTCAAGAAAATGTGTCTCTATTCGTTCACTTCCCCCCCCCCCGCCTTCGTAGCGTAGTGTTCAATTAGTTAAGCACAGGGACAACTTTACGAGTACCTTTTTTTTTTTCCTTGGCACTACAGCCCCAGTGGGCCTAGGCCTACCTCCGTGAACTTCTCCGTTCACTTCGGTTTTTCTAGATCTTAGACATACGGTAAGACTCCTTGGGCGGGTTATCAGCTGGGCGGGTTCGTAACCTGTACACAAACAGAAAAACGCATACACACAAACTAAACATCCATGCCCTGAGTGGGATTCGAAACCACGATCCCGGTTTTAAAGCGAGCGAAGACAGTACATGCCTTAGACCGCTCGGCTACCGTGACCGGCTTATGTGTACCTTACTCATTCTAAATCAGAGAGGGATGGTAGGTAACGGGAGGTAAGTAGGAAGCGAAGCAGTTCCTTGGTAAGAAGCGATAAGGAGGCGTCCTTTTCTTTTTTGTGGGGAAAAATGAATCAATACACAGTATTTTCACAAATAAATGTTTCCTGTTTAAGGTGGGAAGTGTTTGTCGCGTAAATCGGTTCACAGCTGAGTCGAGAAATTCCCAAAGACGTTCGGAAGTCGCAGATGATGCACGACCAGATGCTGAAGCGACTGAGACAACAGTCAACAGACTTCTACGAGATTTCTCCAACAAACATTATTCATTAGAGAAAATACGTCCATTATTCTTATTTCCCGTAGTACAGTTTAAAATCTGGATGGTCCTGGGCTCGACTCAAACCTCTAACAGAAATGATTACCAGGAATGTTTCTGAGGGTAAAGGGCGCCCGGAGCGTAAGGCTGACAACATCACCGCCATCTGTGAGCCGACTGTCTAGAAAAAAAATATATATATATTTTTCTTTTTTACTGCAATGGGGCTTATGCCCGGTGGCAATGTTTGGGAGCCTCGACGGCTCACAACCTTATGGTCCTCCACAGCCACTTACAAAGATAGCTTTTTTTAACGTTTACTTCTACACCCTTCGCGCAACTTTCAAGTTTCGTTTCTCTGCCATGTTTATTCTATAATTAGTACCAGATGTGTTATTAACAAATTCTGTAGTGTTTCCTTAGATCAGTTCTTTACTGGATTTAACATTATTATCCGTAAACAACGCTTATACAATCTCCGATTTGTCAAATTCACCTGCCCGTATTACAGGCGCTCCGTTGTCATATGAGTATTGAATTGTCTTCACCCAATTAAAACTATGATGAGCACTTCTGTCTTTTTTGACAGCCATAGTTTTTGCTGTTATGCGCGCAACTTGACCATTACTCGCTCGGCTCTATTCGGTTCGGTCACGCCGTCGACAGCTAGGCTCGGCTCGGCTCGGCTAGGCGCAAGAAATCGGAGTCATCGCGGTCATCGGACTGTAGTGCAGTGTGAACCGTAGGAAGAAGCCGATTGCGAGATTAATGGCAAGTAACGCTGACTGAATGTAGTGGTGCATTTGGTGTGTACGTAGCGAGTTTGTGGTGTATAGTGATTTGTAGTTATTTATTCATGGTGTTATGATATTTATTAATAATAAATTTTGGCGTATCTTTACAATATGGTGACAAGTTGCATTATATAAATTATTGCGTTGAGGATAGCAATTTTAAAATCCACATCCAGTAACAGGTTAACGGGAATGATTTAGAGAAAAACTTCTTGTGCTAGGTCTATGTCTCATAGCTCAAAATTAAACCCAAATTCATGGACAGTGATATGTGGTCTCCATATCGTGAAGCTGGCCATAAATTTGAATGATTTAAAACTTTGTGTCATAATCTTATAACTCTGATATTATTTTTCAGGACTGAAGATGACTCTTAAATTTTATGGCAATTTATTGTCACAGCCATGTCGAGCAATTTTTATATTCTTGAAGGCAAATCAAATACCTTATGAGTTTAAATTCATCGATATGACAAAAGGTATGCTGCTGAGTACTGGATGTAATTACTTTCCAATATGCACTTCCTAGTTCAGTTACCGTAAAGTGAGGTGATTTTGAGCCAGCTGGGTGACTTTGTGCCACCTACCCATTTTGAGATGTTGGTGTTTACTCAGGCGTGTTTGTTATCCACCTGTGACACAGTTTAAATTATGTGGCTGGTGTGAATTTCCTTCTACTGACACAGGGATAAGATATCAGCTATACATCCATTAACTGTAATTTCACTTTAAAGAAAGTCATCAGAACTGTTATGTTTGAAGGTCCCTCTAAACTTTCACCTGAGTGACAGGGACCAAAATTTTAAAATTGGAAAGCGTGTAAGATCAATATAACACATTGTTCCGTGGTTGTTTTGTCCCTGAATATTATTTCTTGACCATCATTATGCTGCATGTAATGAACATATGAATGAAAAAAATAATCACAAGAGTACTTTTTCTCACTGATGGACACATCTTGACCATGCAGATCATAGTGCCATTTGTCTGAAAATAAATTTTCTTGGAACCTAGTGGGAAAAATTATTCATAAATCACCACAGATATGTAGTACCAATAGATTTGTCCAGAATATGACAGTCATCAGTTGCAGTTAAGAGATATTATTATTATTAAGTTATTCAGTCATCTGCAGAGTGAACTGATGGGAGTTCCAGCATCAAACACATGAAACTATGGTGAGACCAACCTTGTTGATGACACAGGAATTAAGAACGTAATCTCCAAGCAAGATATAAAAAGTTGGATTTGAAATCCTCTTTAGCAGTGACTACGAAGAGCTGTGTCATCTGGGATATAATGCTGCATAGTCCAGTGGAAGTCAAATGACGTTACAGAGAGCATATCACCTCTATCTTCAAGGTAGAAGAGTAAGCCAAGCAAGAAATCAGCATGAAGCAGGCAGGAAGATCACTGCCTACTCCATGCTTGTTTCTTGCTTGGCTTTCTCTTTGACCTTGAAGAGTGATATGCTCTTGTGAAAATCGGCTGACATTCACTAAACCACACAGCATTATATTCCAGAAGATGGAATTGGCCAAGGTGTCAGATACTGTGAACACATTTGTAATGTAGAAGCAGGTGTACTACTATCCAAAAGGAAGTGTTTCCTGTTCTGCAGAACAAATTCCATGAAAACCTTCAAGGGACAGGATCAAAGAATCTGAAGGCTGACTTTTAAAGAAGCTGACATTCATCCACTCAACAGACTGCTGTACTCTTTTCTGCTTATGTGACAGCATGTTAGACGTTGATGATACATTGATATACGTAAGTTTCATGGATCATCTTAATAATAAAATATATCCTATCATCAAAAACTCCAGTCAGGAGTAAAAATCAGGGAGAAACTTTATAGCAGAAGACACCATGTAAGCCTCAATAACAATCACATACTGGAAACCATACCTTCAGAGGCACCTCAGTATGAGGTCCCAATGGGCTAGAGGCTTCCACATCACAGATGCCAAGGTAGAAGACAAAAATATTGTAGATGAATCTGGAAGAGTGGGAATGCAAAGAAAATATTTTGTATCAAGATAGTCAAGTCAGATGTACATAATTTTGGGTTCTGAATCTGATGACTATCTCATAACTGTGACGCTGACTTGGTTTTACATATTTCAGATACAACCAGCAAAAAGTCTGTGATTATGCCACTTCTCAATATGAAAGGGTGTTTGCAGGTGTAGTAAAAGTTGAAAGTAGTGCCAGAGTTAATGTGATGCAGAGGCCACGCCATAGCTCAAGCGGTTAGTCGCTGCTTCCCACCACGGCGGTCCAGGTCTGGTCAAGTGGGATTTGTGTGGACAAAGTGGCGCTGGGATAGGTTTTCTCCGAGGACTTCAGTTTCCCCTGCCAATCTTCATTCCACCAAATTCTCCATCATCAATCACCCAGGGCAGGTACAATAGGTCAATCAGTGGTCGCTGTGCCGAGTGGACTCCACTGGACTCAACCCCCCACTATGCGAATTTAAAAAAAAAAAATGTTAATGCGATGCAAGAAGAAGTGAGAATTTCTGAGGAGTGCAGCCAAACCAAAGGGATGAAATTGATTACAAGTTTATGGCTGTAGAAGGGCAAACTCTACCAGTCGTACACTTAAATACATACTGCTCTTTTCCATCTGTGTAAAAAAATAAAAATATGTTAAACTAGAAAGTCATCCATTAACAGCTCCTCTGTCCCAGATTCACTTATCCTTACAGGTTACATTTATTACGGTTTTGTCGGTGAGAAAATGAATGTGGCACAGAATTACTGCAACAGAAGAGGTGACTTTGTGTCACCTTCAGTTCAGACTTTATGGAGATGCAAGCACAATTAAAAATGCCAATGATTTCAGTAGTCATCCTGCCACATGAACTGTCTTTTATGTACATTAGGTGTTAATATTTATTTCTTGGCCATTTAGATAAGAGGTATGTAATTGCTTTTGTATTGCAAGTTATATGTACAGAGGTTAATTTATACTACAACGGACTGGAACACACTGGGGTGAGTGTTGAAAGCACTACTAATAAGTATGTAAGGCTTAGTTTTATTTGCATATTGTAATATTACATATTATAATAATAAGTCTCAAGCTGGGAGGGTTTTGTTTTTGTACTATACATTAGCTACATAGTATATTTATGATTTACATTGCTGCCAGTAGGTCAAGTTATATAACAATATGATGGTTAGTAAATAATGAATTGGAAAAGATGTGAAGGAATCAGGCCTGGCCTAATTTGATGTCCCAGAATTTGTATGGAAAGAAGGAATACCAATGTAAATCCAAGTCAGCATAGTGGGTCTGCATGACCTCACAAATGTGAATCAGAAGTGCTGCTATGTTGATCACAGTGTTTGTACATACAGATATGAAACTATCATGACTGAATACCATGACAACATGGTAGCACTCAGCTTTGTAGGTCCCAATTTCAAATCTCAGCTTACACAGCTGAGGTTTTTGTGTTTTTACTCACTTCCTTCATGCAAATGCCAGTGTAGATCCTCATAGTAGGCCATGACCATTTGTATGTGTTACAGTTAATTATTCAGTCATCCCATCATTTGTTAATGTGTAGTCTGAACTACTGATAGTGCCATTAAGTAATCCATAAATAAGTGAAGGAGCTTCCTTTTGGCGATAGGATCAATTCTAATACACATACCCTCATTATGTTCATCACATTTCATCAGTTTTCTCATCCCGAAAGACATTTTGATTTGTCATTTAGGTAATTTATGTAAACATTTATAACAATCTGTTTCTGCCCTTTGGTTGGAAGTCATGTCAGAGCACAATTTTCATTCAGCAGTTCAATGATGTCCAGTTATTCTAACCAGAAATAACTGAGGTCAGTTCTGTGAATTTGTGAAATGGCGAAACACATTACACTATTTACCATCTCACATTTCCTTAACTTCAGTGGGTGCTTGGCTAGTAGTTTGTAAGAATACAAGTAAAGGTAAAAAGTAAAGTTGTCCCTGTGCTTAATTAATTAAGCACTATGCTATGAAGGCATATGAGGGAATGGATGTCTAGATCTACATTTTCTTGACCTCGGCACTAGCTGGAGGTGAGTGGTCAGCTTCACGCCCCGGCCACTTTACCCCGGGGAAAGAGCCCCCAGTACCCATTCAATAGGAGGTTGTGTGGACTCCAGAGCCAGTCTGGATGATGTACAGAAGAGAAAATTCTTGGTCCTACAGGGGTTTGAATTCCAACCCCTCAGTTGTCCAGCCCATAGCCAGTCACTATCCCGGTTCCTAAGAATACAAGTAACATTTACAAATTTTCAGTTATTTATACAAATAAGTATTAGTCACATTTTCATATTTGTTCTGGTCTATTACTCTTTGGTAGGAGAGCACTTATCCGAAGAATATGAAAAGCTGAATCCATTGAAGAAGGTCCCAGTTATTGAAGATCGTGGATTTATCCTGAGAGAGAGGTATGTTGATTACGTGCCTGAGAATTCTTGAAACTTAACTGTTGGATTAGTAGTGTAGTAGTGTATCTTATATGATAATATTTCATGTTGACAGATATATTTCAAATAAATGCACTAAACACTTTGTGAGTTAAGACAGCTAAATAAGGCACAAAACAGGGTGAATTTAGTGACAGGTATAGTATGAAATTATACACATCATTATCTTTTCCGACTAGTGGTTTGTTGTTATGTGAAGCAGAATTCAAACATCCACACTTAATGATGAAAAACTAGACTTATGTGAAACAGGATTGTATGTTAGGACCAGTATTTTTACATACTTGATATTTTACCTTCATAGACAAGATTTATTACTCATGGTGTTCACTATTGTAACGTTTTCTCTTTTTTCAACCATGTGCATACCAGTGCTAAAAGTTTACGCAGTCTTCTATACAGTAGGTACTTAGAGTCTTTCATATCATTCAAAAGGTAAGACTGTGTGGACCTTTGCTTCCATTTCCCCATATCTTCATGGCATGATGCATAAACAGAGGGACAACTTAACCTCTACGTTTTTTACCAGTGTTGCCTGGCCACTGAATGTATGATCAGTGTCAAAGTGTAAGATATAAGTTGTGGAAACAATATTTGTTCTTAGCGTGGGAATACTTCGGTACCTGTGTCGTGAGAAAAAAGTTCAAGACCACTGGTATCCTACAGACAGTAAGCAGCAGGCTAAAGTGGATGAGTATCTGGAATGGCAACACTTGGACACAAGGTTGAATTGTGCAATGTATTTCCAGTATAAGGTAAAGTTTCAAATAAAAATATCTAAGGCTAAATGTTGCTAATAGATACAGGAAAGGGAACAGCAAAGAATAGCTGGCTGTGTTCCCCAGCCTTCAAAATGTCAGTCTTAGAATGCTGTTGAAATGAAAACAGTGAAACCATGCTCTGATTTAGTTACATAACTACATATACTTCAGCTCTAATTCAGTGGTACTGTCCATGGCAGGGACACAGCTTTTGGTTTCAGTATCAGAAGTATATGCTGAATTAACCTCTCCATGTACCTAATGTCATAGGGCTACTGTATCACTTTGATCTTCACTCTGTGTTATCATTTAGTGCTCTGAACGAATGATTTCCTTCTCCAGTTTCCTATTAATGCATGTGCCCATTTCCTGAGTCACGTACTCACATCAGTCTTATAAATGCCAGTTGACTGATATGCTGTCCTGTTACTGAAAATGCCATCATGTCAACTATGTGAAGTTGTGAACCGGGAACATTAGTATCATCAAATGTAGGCTGCGCCATAGCTCAAGCGGTTAGTCACTGGCTTCCCACCGCTTCAGCCCAGGTTCAATCCCGTGTCTGATCAAGTGGGATTTGTGGTGGACAAAGTGGCCCTGCGGCAGGTTATCTCTGAGTACTTCGGTTTTCCCAGCCAATCTTCATTCCACCAAATTCTCCATCATAGTCACCTGGGGCAGGTACAATAGGCCAATCAGTGGCTGCCGTGCCAAGTCAGCCCAGTTGGACTCCACCCCCCACTAAGCGAACCATCAAATGTACAAAACTACCAGCATATGACTTGGAAGTTTTGTGTGGTGATAATTGTTTGAAAAATTTGCAACTTAAATTTGATATTTTTTATGAAACAAAACAACATGATGATCACAGAAGTGTTTTGTTTTCATCACAACTGATGACTCATTGTTATCTTAGTCTGATATTTTTATGGTGACATGAATATGTCTATTGGTAGCACTAGTAATGTTGAAATCTCTTTTGTTCTCTTCCTTTGGAATTCCAAAGAATGCAAGACTAAAGAGAGATGTTTCAGTACACAGTACATGCTATGGTCATCTTCAGTTCCTGGCCTATTTTGCATCTGCAATAAAATAATGAAAATTATGCAACTTCTGCTTTCAGTTTCTAATACCGCTATTAAAGAGTGAACCACCAAATGAGAAAAAAGTTACTGAATTTGAAAGAAGAATGAAAACAACATTAGGACTAATTGAAAATGTGTGGCTGAAAGATACACCATATTTGACTGGTAATGAAATTACCATTGCTGATTTGTTGGGAGCTTGTGAAATAGAGCAAACAAGTAAGTTCTTAAGCTGCATCCATTGTACTGCCTGATATGGCTTATGATGTATGTGAACTCTTTGTGAATGTACATATTTCCTCTTTGATGCCCATAGCTTATTGTCAGGTTATCAAGCCTGACATTTCCACACTTCTAAAAAGAATTCTGCCATTTTTCCCTATCCCAGGCCTCTTCAGTCAGTCCACATGAGAACAACCTGACTTCTTTAAAACCAATTTAAATATGTAAGATTTGAGGTTTTCATGGCAGTGACTATGAAGAATGCCGTTTCAGTTTAAATATCTCTCCATCTTCATCTGCAATTATAAGGTTTTAGTTTCTCACAGTGGTTGGCCGCGCCATAGCTCAAGCGGTTAGTCACTGGCTTCCCACCGTGGCGGCCCGGGTTCGATCCCGGGTTTGGTCAAGTGGGATTTGTAGTGGACAAAGTGACGCTGGGGCGGGTTTTCTCCAAGTACTTTGGTTTCCCCTGCCAGTCTTCATTCCACCATATTCTCCATCATCATAATCAACCAGGGCAGGTACAATAGGCCCATCAGTGGCTGCCTTGCCGAGTGGACCCAGCTGGACTCCACCCCCCACTAAGCAAATTAAAAAAATTCTCACAGCAGTTGGTATGAAGAGTTCTCTCTTCAGGGCTATAATGCCATGTAGCCTATTAATGGCATCTGGCATTTTGAAGGAACATGTCACACTCTCTTCAGGGTCAAATAATAGGGTAAGCAAGAAATCAGCATGAAGCAAGCATCTATGCTTGCCACCTGCTTGACTTATTCTTCAGCCTGAAAAAGATTGGGGCGACATGTTCCTCTGAAACAGTGGATGATTCTCAGCGGGCTACACAGCATCATAGTCCAGAAGATGGAACTCTTCATTTGTGTCTTCATATCAAATATCAGTATTTGTTGCTTGTTTCTGCTTCAGAAGTTCATGTCCAGCTTATCATAGCTTCCTTGGTTTAGTTACTCTGTCAATGATATAAGAGCTATATAAATCATAAAGGCCATCATTATCTAATTTTCTCCATTCCTCATTCTTCTAAGTACAGAGGTTAACCTTTGTCATTAGAATGAAAATGAAAGTTTTGGTTCCTTCTCATTTGCTATTCAGATGTTTTGTTATATAACCATATGATCCATTAACATATTGAAGCTCTTATATATCTCTGCTGTGTGCCCATTAGGAATTGCACAATATGATGCAAGGACCGAGTACCCGAAAATTGCTACCTGGTTAGAAAGGGTGCGTTATGACGTCAACCCCTACTATGATGAAGCACATGGCATTCTCAACAAGATGGCTGGGAAGTCAAAATTATGAAGAAATAAAACTGTTGTTACTGTTACTATAAACTTTACATAAGCACATGATTATCTAAAAGTTCGTGATGATGGCATATTACTACAACTACTGTGTTTCTGTACAGTATCCATTATCCTGTTTTTATTTAAAAAACACAGTGTTTCGGAGACTGGATTCTGTGTCCATCTCCAGGTGGAACGTGGTCAGTTGGACCCAATCAGTAGAGCTGGTCACTATCTCTGGACACCAGCACTAATGCAAGGTAGGATATATAATCCAAGCGCAACACAAACCATCTGTGAGAGTTAAGAAAAACATTAAAAACATAAAAACTCCAAATGCCTATATCTGTGCACTACTTCATGGCTATTATTGTTAAAATTGGAGTACTATCAGAATATTCAGTAAGTCATCATCACAGAGAGAGTTCTGTGTATGGTACATACATAAAAACAATTTTCACACATAATGTACACTGGACAGCATTGCAGTTTTCTGACTTTTTCTGTGATAATCAGAGTCCAGATGAGAGAGATGTCAAGCCATGAAATAGTGCATGGACATAGGTGCTAGGCCTTATATGTGTGGAGTTTTTTTTCCTTCTCCCCCCCCTCTCTCACAGATGGTTTGTGTTGTGCTTGGTTTATATTATATTATATCGATTGTCTCATGTGTTGGGGCTGGTGTCCGGAGGTGGGGACTAGCTCTGTCAATTGGGCCAACTGAGTAGGTTCCACGTAAAGGTGGAGATAGAATGCAGTCTCTGAAACATTGTGTTTTAAATAAGAACAGGATGATGAATAATTCCCAGAAACACAATAATTGCACATAATTATCGATCAAATATCTTACTTTTTTTAATGGATTACTCATTGATTATGAAGTGAGGGAGAACATTTTTCAGTATAGAAAGTACTAATTTTGGGAGTTTTTCTTTTCTTTCTCTAAGCAAAGCAGTGATGTGAAGTGTAAGATATGTTACAATATGAAATTGCTGAGCATATATTGTAATACTCATTAACTGATCAGTGTTACTATTGAGAGATAGTGTCCCCAAAATGCCCAGTACTGGTTGATGCTGAAAATATATTTTAATGGGGTTTATACAATAACAGGGTGAAAATACATTTACTTTTGTAGTATTTTTATTTGTCAGATTCTTGCCATTTTTAAGGTAAGTAAGAGAGCGTGAAAAATCCACTTGGCTGTGGTAGAAGGGATAACGTGAGGATTATGGCCTTGTCACAGTAAAGATAAAGAACTGCTTCTACCTGATGTGTGAAAATATAGTTCACAATTCCATGTAATTCATGTAAAGAAAGTTGAGGAGTTAAAAAAAGAAGACAGCATTAGAAATCATATGGCATGTACTCAGTGAACTCCTATTCCATTACTGTTAAGATAAACTGTGAGCACCACTTTCCAATTGTTCTTAACAGTGAAGATCTTGTAGCATCTAAATATCCCAATCCTTCCTATAGGTTCATCATTGATGGTTTAAGCACTGCATTTCCTAATGTAGAGACAATTCTTAACAACTTTTTAACATTATCCATATCAAAAGCAACTGCTGACAGAGCATTCAACATCATTAAAAGAGTAAACAATTATTTACGCTCCACCATATCTCAAGAGCATTTAACTATATTATATTTAAGCATCCTGTTGCACTATACACTTCTATATGTAATAATACAAATGCTGCCGTGAATGCAACAATTTATTTGGTTGTAGTTCTTTGTCTTTTCTTCCTCTAGACTACATGTTTCGGCTGTAACTGGCCATCATCAGGTGTATTTTTCACTACGTAGCTGTCACACTGCACACAATCCAAAATATAAAACACCAGCCTGTCAGTTTTGTTTAAAATCTCGTCAACATACGCTCGTCAATTTGATTTTAGAATTCCAGTCTAAAATTTATAATTTTTTAATTTAAAATTCAAAATTTAAAGTTTTAAATCACAGGGATAGCTGCTCTTTGTGTACATGTGCTGCAGCGGCTATTTCTTGTTTCCAGCACCGTTCATATGTTATTCTGTGCAGGCTCCCTGTGTGTGTGTTGCTGCAAAAGTATTAAAGATGAGCAGCGACAGCATTTGTATTAATATATATAGAAGCATTTAACAGGTTCAGCAATTTTGGCAGTCAGAATTTCTGCATGATATTCATACATGAAATGTGGCTATCACTTAATTCAGTCTAAACTTCCATGCCCTACTCACTGCTGTGGCATTTTTCTCGAATAACATAAACATTTTAACATTTATTCTATTTTTTAATAACAGTTAATCAGATATCCTTTGGGGGGGGGTAACATGCTCCTACAAAAATGAATTACTGCAACCACAAAATGCATTGATTCATGACAACTGTCTGATATGATACACATGAATTGTGTAGTCATGCTATCCAAAACATGCTAACTCACTAATGATGTCATTCAAAACACAAAAACATCATCAGTCTATCTGTTAAATTGTCAGACCCTGAATTTACATGTGTAGGTATGAAATGTTGCTGGCCAGAATTCTGTCAGACAAACAGTGGCTAATGCATGACTTACATATTTATTGTAATAAAGAACCAAAAGATTGTAGTTATATCTTAAAGTTATAAACACAATGGATAGAGTAACATTTGAGAGCTCCTTCAGACTCTTTAATTATGTCCACTGCAACTACCATTCTAAATTTAATAGTAGAATATTCCTTTCACATAATAACAGTGAAATTTATTCTTCATTAAAAGATAATTTAAACAAACACAAATTCAGATATCTGTTCCTTGAATTCATGACAAATTTGGAGATTCTGTTTTCAAATCTCTTAATTTTGTAAACATAATTATTAGTGTAGTATTTTAGCATCCTGTTGCACTGATTTTCATCCATGATATGTATACAGTTGCCATCTTGTAGTGCACTCAATTTCACCTGTTACTTCATGACATGTTTTGGCAACATAGTGCCATCATCAGGTGCCCTAATTACACTAGTCTATTTCATTGCTTGCCTTTATAAAAGTATTTAAAAAGTGCGTATTTGTCAACTATAATAAATTTACACACACTAAAACTTGTTAAGATTATTCATCTTATGTGTCATAATTAAAACTTGCGTGTGGTTCTTCCACTATGGGGATCGTTTTTCTTATATTCTGTGTAGACACACACATCCAACATTACAACACTCGCAGCTAAGAAGGGAACACACAACACAAGACACGGTCTACACAGAATATAAGAAAAACGATCCCCATAGTGGAAGAACCTCACGCAAGTTTTAATTATGACACATAAGATGAATAATCTTAACAAGTTTTAGTGTGTGTAAATTTATTATAGATGACAGATATGCACTTTTTAAATACTTTTATAAAGGCAAGCAATGAAATAGACTAGCGTAATTAGGGCACCTGATGATGGCGCTATGTTGCCGAAACATGTCATGAAGTAACAGGTGAAATTGAGTGCACTACAAGACGGCAACTGTATACATATCATGGATAATTGTTAGCACCTTACAGATCTTACAAAAACGGTGACAAAAGATAAGTATAGATGCAACAACAAAACCCATATAAGATCATGGTCATTTTTATGTCCTCATGCTGCCAGAATACAAATATTTACTTTTGGGTTCAATTTTTGATGACTGCTTTAATGGTACAATTCTCTCATTTATGGACAGGTTATTTATGACTACAGGAATTTTTTAGTTTCTTTGTAGAAGTGAAATCTGATTGTGGCTAATAGCCATGAAGGAACCAACCATACTCTGCAATCAAGACATATTAAAGAAGTAATAAACTTGCAGTTTTCTGAAAACTATTTTTATATATCTAGTATGTGCATACATTCTAGACTGAACTAAAATTAATGATATTTATGAATCTCTCCAAAACTCTGAGGTAAAGTACTCATTTTATCTGAGTGAGCTTGTGCACACAAGTTGATGGTTGTACACAAGGTTAATAATGCTATAACATGGCACCCCTAAAAATAAAAAGACATACATATCTTTGAGGTCACATTTACATCAGCACAGTGCACACATCAAATTATTCCTCTCATTCATGTCTCTGACTCTAACTTTGTTTCTGGTGCCCATGTGAAAGCAACAAATGATCTGTACTAATTTTTGCACTCTTAAAATAACATTACCTTCTTGTGACCCAATCCCTGAAATATCTTGAACCATGTCATATTCCTAAGTTTGAGAAACACTGATATTTTTAGTATTACTGGGTGTCTGAAATTTGTCCATTGTCTAGCATTATGAATGGAATATATCATTGCAGAAAATGGATCTGTTTCTTTCCTGCAGTGAAAAGATTAGGAGGAACCTATTCAGTTAAGTCTCTTAGAAACAGCTGATCTCGGTCACAAGTCCAGAGACTCAGCTGAGTGGGTGCCTCTCCATTTTTCATCATCACGTTGAAACATATCCAGTTCTCAAGATGTTGCATTCTATTCAAAATAATAGATAATGAAAATAATACTGCAGCATGTAGACCCATTGCTAAGTAGTGACTCTGTAAACAATGCTCACTGCTAGGCAACAGATTCCTAACAAGCAACAACTGAACAACAGAGGAACGGTATTTTCTGTGCAGTCCACTAAGCAATAATTGAACAGCAACAGAGGAACAGTGTTTTCTGTGTGGTCCATGCTATTATAAGCAGGACAGTTAGTGTAGTGCAGGGAAAAAGACAGACCCATCCTCTCATCAGAGAGGGTGCCCCACAGTAACAAGACTTTAACTGTCAAACAATGATAAGTATCTGGTCATGAGCCCCAGATGGGCTCGACACAAAGACTGACTGAGTGACTGACTGACAGTCAGTCACAATGTGACTTTGACTTGAGCGCAGGGAAGTGAACAGTTGGTTGATAAGTTAGACAGAGAACTGCAGTTCAGTCCTTATGAGCTGTTGGTTAGAAGCTGGTAGCTGATACACAAGGGATAGTTTGGGAACCAAAATTAAGAGGAACATCTACCACTGGAAGCTGTTATCAGGCAACTACTAGCAGAGACTGTAACAGACTGAAGACACTTGTGTGTGTGTAACAGTGAACTGTAAAGTGCAGCTACAAGTCATGCGATAAAGTGTGCAATAAATTGAGTCACCAATCCAAACAAATTATGTAAGGAAGGTTATTATTAATCTAAAATTAAAAGCAAAGTATGATGAAAATGTGATTACCTTAATTCACAGCAGCTTACTAAAACTTGATGCTCACTGGACATTCTCCCACTGTTAACCTATGTACAAATGCTCATTCAGAGGTGAAGCGATGCAGCCATGTAGCAGACCCAAAACAGTCGCATAGAAATAATTGATGAACTTATTAAATATATGAAGAAAATTTGTCTCAAGTCTGGAAACAGATTTTCAACAAAAGTCTTTCTTACTTCTCACAAAAACAGTTGGTGGCTGCATTTGAGAAGTGCTGGTTTAAAGCATAAATACTGTATGCTCACTACACATAGTTTTATAGTTTTCAGTAAACTCAGATCTAAGATGCACACCGTAATATTCTGGTATGACATAAAATATTTCTTAATTCCTTCTGTATTACCAATGTTATTCATAGACTGAAAATATCTGTGCCGAAGAAAGGTAACATTTAGCATGAAAGGCAGACAAGAACTCAGTATTGACCAAAAATGGACATACAACATTTGTGCTTTGAAATAGTGACATTTCATTTATAATACATATCTGTACGACTATTAACTAAAAACAAAAACTGGTTAATAATGAATTGCATCTTTTCTTATAAATACCTCAGAACTGTCATATGCTGCAATTTATGTATGTCCTTTTATCATAATCACATAAAACTGATATCCAAAGAAGGGAATGTCACTAATAACCTGCTTGTAACCCACCAAGTAAATGAATTAATTTTTTAGCCCTACTGAAAATGTCTGTGTTTCTGGTATTATATGTGTAGAATACATTTATTTAAATGTACTCATGAATTGAATCCATGTACTTATAGACACTTTAAAGCAATTATTTTTACAAACTGACAAATTTACATGTAGGCTAGGCTTTACATTGTAATGAATGTACAAACTTAATTATATTCCTTTAAGGCCAGTACACTGGGACATCTAAGTACTGTATTTGTGGTAAGATGAGTCTATCAAATACCAATAATAGTTTTGAGCTTTAGCTTCATTAACAAATACAATTATGTATATAATTTCTGATGGTTTATTTTTTTTACAATCACAGCACTGATTTACATTGACTTTCCTTTCACCCTTCAATAACATTTCACATTAAAATGCTTTAAATAAGACTGCACTGAAATTTAAACACTGGCTAGTCAACATAATTTCTCGGTGAATCTCAGTATTCCCCAGTCAAAACACAATTACAATAGTGGAACAGGAAGAAGGCAGAGCTGATGTGGAGAAAACTGGTAATTTACTGCTTTTCAGGTTGATTCAGAATCATCTGATCCTTTCACAATTCATAACAGGCAAACCCTCTTAACCTCTGTCCATTCTCTTTCATACAGGAAGTTACAGAAAAATAAGAAAATTAAGTGCAGTGAATAACTTTCTCCAACTTCCTAAAACTAATAACTAATCAACTGAAGTAAGTTCACTAATTCACTGGACTAATTTCTTGAGATGCAAAGGACATTAAAGAAAGTGAGAATTTATTTCAGGGTAATACTAATGATTGATTTTGAATCATGTAATGAGTAAGTTATCTCAGCTGTAAGTACAGCTGACTTACATTTGGGAGTTGTGTGTTGAAAAGGGACCAATTATCATGACCAAGCTTTTTCAAGATTTTCCCACTTCCTCCAGGCAAATTATTTCAAAATAAGCACATTCTTCCAGTTCATCATTCATAATAATTCTGCAGTATTTGGTCTGATGATATGTTATCTCAGATGTTAATTACAGGCTTGTACAATAATAAACTTCAAATTCTACATGAAACAAGGAGGTTCTTTTATTTTATCCTTTCTTTAAAAAAAACATATTTCTAAAATATGCCACAAAAATTGTATCTGCAGAGAACTTTGTCTTCCTAAACTTGTTTCTCAAGCACAACAGAAATTAGTTTCTACTTATTTCTAAGTAGACTATATTTGGCCCTCCACATATAAAAGCTCAACTTTTGAGCATCCAAAAACATGAACACTGTCTAATATATTACAGTATTGTACATTGTATAGGCTTAGTTCATGAGTTTAGGTGTACTTGGTTACTACTAATTATATTATTTCTTATGGGACTTCAACTTACAAACAAGGTTTTGGAATACCTACTTGCAAGTTGAGGATCAAGTGTAATCAGAATCCTAAACAGTGAACTCAGTGGAAACTACAACAAGGGACAGATTGAGCCAGAGACTGAAACAGAGGGTCAGAGTGAAAGGTACCAGGGAATAATTTAACTGCTTATGAAATTAAACCCAAATTCATCTTTCAGTTTATAACATGAACACTGACAGTGAGCACACCCCCTATTCGAAGAGTTTTCAGTACTATTTATTAAGTGACCTATCAATTGGGTTAACAGTATTTATTATCGGTTTCTTTCTTATGGAAAATTTGTTAATGTTTATAGAAAAAATACAAACAGCGCAACTAGCCCCCCACACACATGCATGCACGCTTGCTTGGTTTATTCTGTGACCCTGAAGATGAAGTCAACATATTCCTCTGAAACGTTGATTGACATTCAACAGAGTACGTGGCATTATATCCCAGAAGATAGAATTTTTCATAATGACTGCTATGAGAACCTCAAATCCTAGACACAATAAGGTTAACCCCAAAAATAAAAGCCTTTTCCATTCCACTGAAATGTTAATGAGATGCTTCGTTTTTATTATGTACATGAGCCAAGATCTGTGTGTATATGATGAGAAAAAGCAGAAAACTCTATTAGAATCCACTGTTGCCATTAGAAGTTGACCACAGGATGGAGTTTCACCTCTACCACAGCAAGATAATCAACTGAGCCACTGCTTCTTTCAGCCTTTTTGAATTTATTATACTTTCCTCCATACAACTGATAAAATGCAGATGAAACAACTATAAATAAAAGTGACTTTACAAACATATAATTTTACAGGAACAGCACAATGTAATTATTTACTTGATTCCATGACCAAAGCAACTCTTCTTCAAACCATAAAGTGAAAGTTTCATGAAGTAAATGAGTTCATGGTATAGACAACAATCATTAAGACAAGCAAAAGAATATTACTGTACCTGAGAAACATTACTATATATGTATTGCATCTTCACAAGGAATGATTTCAAAACCTATGGCTGAAGCTTGGGAGGATGTTTACAAGATCATTCTGTAACATAAAATGTGACAGTTACCTAATTGATCACCATTTCGGTGTTCTGGTGTTTCAAATTTCCGGTCACGTGTCATCTTTTTGGGTGTTCGCGTGGTGGAACCTTCATAACATTGTAAAACACAACTCACATTGCATTCACTTCCGGCTCATTACTTCCAGCAGCAAAATAGTGATAACAGTAGAATGAGATGGCACGATTTAGTAATGGAGTGTTTGCTGTTAGGTGCTGTGTACAGCTTTTATGATGAAAATGCTATAGCTACATTGAGATAATAACAGTGCTAGAATCCAGATTGGAGGCAACCCAACAGATATGTCTGCAGAGGTCTGAGAGAAACAGGTGCATTAAATCCACCAGCACATACTGAGTGCAGCAGACACAATGCACACAATGAAAGGAAGTATCAAATGCTGTACATCCTAATCCATCCACTAGCACTGCTCATGTTACACATGACACCATCGTCTATTGGAATTTTGTCAGGCATAAACTGGACCATATGTGATAGTGACTTGTCTTGGTGGACTCTAGTATGCTCATCTCTCTGAAAGAACACATCCTCTCTTATTAAGGATGGACAGGACATTGGGGTTCAATCATCTTGCCTTCACATTTTCCTGATTTGAATCCACTCGACTTTTCCTTGAAGTCATAATATTTTTATAAACAAGAAAAATAATATTAAAATTCACTGGTGCGAAACACTGTTAAATGTAGCTTTCTTGATAATTTGTGGATCACACTGTACTGTGCACTGCTGCCTCATGCTTTTTTTTTTATTAGTACAGTGATGTTGCACAGTATCACTATATGATTCTTGAGAGGTAGTGTCCGACCTCTCAAGAGCCACACATCAGTACAGAAAGCTGCATTTAACTATGATTCATACCAATGAACTTAGTTTTAACTTGTTATAAATGTTTTATTACTTCATAATTTTAAACCTTTCAGTCAAACATACAAATTTGTAAAGTTTCCTTTAATATCTTGTATCCCCTTGAAGATGGTCACTTATAATCAAAATAGATCAGTGCTATAATAGTATTTAAGTAAAAAGTAAAGCTATCTCTGTACCAGGCCGTGAAGGCCCATAGGGTTGTGAGACGTTGAGGGTCCCACAGTATCTAGACAATCGGCTCTATTTAATCAAAATAATAAAACATTACTCAGATGGTGACTTCACATCTTGTTTTAACATAAAAAGTATATTGTCAAAATGAACTTTACCATACTGAGTTAAATCCATCTCCATTCCTTCTGATAATCTCCCATGTATCTGATCTGCACATACCTGTACTACTTGTCTCCATCACCTTTGCTGTTCTGTCACTTAGTAGCAGAGAACTGATCTGTCTAACATCTCTCTTTCCCTGAGTAGTTTTATTATGAATATCACATTACCATCAGGATAGTCTGAAAATATTACTCTCACATACTTCAACATTTTGTATGTTTTTATTTTCTTGTTGTCTACAATCAGGTCTTCTCCATTTTCACCCTGATTAAATATTCAGTCTTACTCATGTGTCTGTTAAAATTCTTAGTGTAATTCTTAACTTCACTGCAAAACTCAATAAGATACAAGCACAAAGAAGCATTTCAAAACTGTTTTTCACCACAGGAGCATTTTGACAATGATAAATACTTCTCAAAGATAACATAAAGAAAAAGTTGGAGGTTACATAATAGAAAATGGAACAAAACTGGAGCACTATTTTGTGATTTTCGTAGTGAACTCAAGTCAGACACATAATAAATCCTGAAAATTTCTAGTAAACAACATACTTCCATGAGTAAACTCATCTCCAAGGTAGCAGTGGTAGGTAAATTATTGTATTTGACAAAATTTTAAGTGCTGCCTGAATATAATAAAAAGTAAAGTAAAGGTATCCCTGTAACATGCCGTGGAGGCCCATAGGGTTGTGAGATATTGAGGTTCCCACATTTTCTAGATAAATCGGCTCATAGACGGTAGCAAGATTGTCAGCCTTATGCACCGGCCACCCTTTACCCCCAAGAATATTCCTGGCACTCATTTCTGTTAGAGGCTGAGTTGACCCCAGGGCGACTGCGCCTGGAAGGATTATGTTAACTGAAAAAATTCAATGACCTCATCGGGACTTGAACCCGTGACCTTCCGGCTTGTAGCATAGTGCCTCAACCAACTACGCTACCGCATACTCTGCCTGTATATAATGCATGTCTTAATTCTGAAAGGCTACATTAAAATTTTACATGTCATTGTACAGAACTATGTGAAGTGAAAGGATAGATCTTACATATTTTACTGTTATCGCAATATAAAAGAAAACAAATTACTTTTAATAAATAACATTTCTAGTGTTGTTCTATATTAAAATAGCCAATACAAAGGAACTGGCATAAATATAATTCACAATCAGTTCTCTAGGAGGTATTCCAGGGAAAGAAATGTGTTATATTCAGGAAAATGTGATATTGAAGAATTGCTTTCAGATTTTAAGGTAACATTTCTTTTAGACTGAAGATTATTATGAAACCTGTGCCATCTCTGAGAATTCCTTATAGAACCCCATGATTCTATGTGAATCAATTTGGGAACTGCCGGAATACAGCACGCGCGCGCGCACACACACACACACAAGTATATAAAACTGGCTTTATTAGAAATACCTGCAAATTTCTTGTTACTGAGAAGTTTCCAACATTAAAATTAATCGTTCTACAATTCTGATGTAATAAAACCTGGATTTCTTATAGGTAACAGAGGGAGAGAAATATTACACTTCTCGTTAGGAATGGGATGCTCATGACTAGATACATCTTGGAGCCATATCTTTTTTGCACTTATCTGTGCAACATCAATTGTATATCACTGAGTTATAAATGATGATGACAGAAGCAGCCACCACATACTGTTTAGTACACCTATATTTTTAATTTTTCATGTCCGTTTTCAATAAAACGGGAAAGACCCAGAATCTCTCTCCACACTACAAACATAACTTTCAGTCTTTTACATAAAAAAAAAATCTATCCACTTCACAGTATTACAAAAGTAGGAACTAAGATATAATAGAAATGCAAGTTGAACTTAATATATACAGATTCTCTTATGAATGTACACAAATAACCAAAATGTAATGTAAAAAATAACTGCAGAAACAGTTCTTACTGATATATTCGCTTCAAAACTTGTCAGTATCCAGTCATAACATAAAATAACACAATGGCACTTCTACTACAGTGCACACACAAAGCTACATAAGAAACACACATAACTAATATACTGCAAAAAAAAGATTTACAACAATACATTCTGAACTTTATATCAGTATTAACAAAAAGGAAAAGTGACACACAAAAATAAACTGATAATCAGTTAATACTAATACATGAACACTTTGGTTGAAATCTTATTAAAAGTGGCATACTGAGACTAGTTTAAAATGTTTCTATTTAATATTAGGTACTCAATATCACAGTTTGGTCATACAGTCTCAACCGCTTTTAATAGTAGTCCCTTTAAGAGTGATTTATGGTGACACAATTTGTAAAATTCTTTTGGAATAAAGTTAAATAAAATTTTATCGTTCTTTTTCAATTTTTGTTCAGAATCAACATTTTATTACAGAAATATGTGCAAATATATGGCTTTTTAAAGTTAATATTATGTTTTATTTTTATAAAAGAAGTTAAAGACATCATGGCAGTTGTTTGTTGAGCAACTACTTGTCTTCATTCAGTAGTTGGTCGGCGACAGCTAAGAGAATGAGATCTCCAGTGTCGCATCTGAAATGAAATAAATTGAAAACCTCATCAGGAAGCTGATAACACCAAGCAACACACTATAAATAACTCACTCATATTGTGCTACAGTTCTATCCAGTGATTAGAATTCAGTATGTGTTCTGGCAACAGAAGAGCATTTAGTGGATTCCAATTAACATGATCATCCTAAGGGGAAAATATCAAGAATATAACAAGAATTTTCTTTGTTTATTTGGGATGCCATGCCATTTACCTGGGCCAGTAACTACCACATGGCACACTTGTGACTTCTATGTCATCAATGAGTCGCTGACTCCTCAGTCAGTATAAATGAACACAGCCACAGTTGTTCTCAGTTTTGCAGTGACTGCATTTGTGAGTCTACTGTGGCGTGTGCAGTGATTTCTTCATTTAAAAATTTAGATCCCTACAGAAACGCCTAGAAGAGATTTAACACTCAGAGATAAAACTGTCTTACTTGAACAAATTAAAAACAAACCACCTAACATTAAGTCATCCCCAACTGGCAGAGATAACTGGAGTACCGAAATCAACAACTGTTATGAGTTTTACAGCAGCAAGAGAAATTGTAAGACAAATGGACATTACACAACGGCCAACAGGGAACTTCCCAAAAACAGAAGCATAAAGGTAAGGATCCAATGTTGAAGAGGCCCTCAATCAGTAGCTCTCTATCATAACTGCACAAGATGTATGTGTCAGTGGTCCAATGTTGAAAAGTAAGTTAGAGGAGTTAGCCAAAAAGCTGGGTCATAACAATTTCAAACAGATGGTTGATTGTCTCAATGGAAATGCAGGTTTTTTGATAAAATTCAAGAAACACACAGCGAGAAGGACAGTGCTGATGCTTAAATACTGAACAATGGAAATTTAAAAAGCTATCAAACTTGCTTCCGAAATTTTGGCCAAATCATATCTACAATCTCAATTAAACACTTATTTTACCATGCTATGCCAGATGGTTTTCTAATCTAGAAAAATGCAAATCTAACTGGTTCAAAGAAAGCAATGGATTATGTAAGTGTGTTGTGCTCTTCGAACATGTCAGGAACTGATAAAACAGAAGCTGTTGGTTATCAGGAAAAGGGCTTAGCCTCGGTGCTTTTAGGGGATTTGTATGGACTGTTTACTAGTTCTGTACTACTTACTTACATACTCCTGGAGCTGGGCCCTTCTTGAGGAGCCGCCAATTCTGCAGCTACTCAAGAATTTCCCAGCATTTTATGGAACCCAAAGGTTCATTACCATGTTCACAAGACTCCCCCATGGGTCCCTATCCTCAGCCAGATCAATCCAATCCATACCATCCCATCCTATCTCTCTATGATCCATTCTAATATTGTCCACCCACATTCGCCTTGGTCTTCCTGTGGTCTCTTTCCTTCTGGCTTTCCCACCAATATCCTATATGCATTACTCGTCACCTCGTCACACATGACCTGCCCACCTCATCCTCCTTGACTTGATCATTCTAATTGTACTTGGAGAAGAGTACAAGTTATGAAGCTCCTCATTATTCAGTTTTCTCCAAACTCCTGTCACTTCATCTCTCTTCAGTCAAAATATTCTCCTCAACACCCTGTTCTCAAACACCCTCGGTCTATGTTCCTCCCTTAATGCAGTTCTGTACTGCGCTAATAAAAGTGCGTGGATGACATCTTAAATTTATAAGAAATGGTTAATGAGTTGGGATGTGGAATTACAATGGAAATAGAGGAAAATATTACAACTGGAATCTGTCTCCCAACACCACATCCTTAGTACAGTCAATGGACATAGGAATCATAACATATCTGAAGACCTTATACTGTCCGAAGTTTGTGAACTACAACCTTGAAGCAATCCAAGAAAATCTACCAACATCATCTACAGCAGTTAAGGAGGTCAGTGCAAGGATTGGGCTCTTAGAAGCAGTACAGTTTATTGGCAACTGCTGACAAAAGAAAGTACCAAGAACATTCTGAACTGCTTTGTTCACCGTGGCTTTAAGCACACAGACATGGAGATGCCAAATAAATCCAACAGTGAAAATTATGCCATATTGGGAATGCACCTAGTCGGAAATTACGAAGAGTTTTCGTGCAATGACAACCGTCTTCAATATTATAATGAAAATTAAGTTTGTGAGGAAGCAACTACTGAATATGTTGCAGCAAAACCTCAGAATACGTCAGAAGATCAGGTCACCAATGATGATGATGACACTACCAAGCCTGAATGAGTGACTGACAAGGATGCTAGGAAATTTATTGCTGTCTACGACTTCACTTCATGCAGGAAGGCAACGAAAGCAGTACTATATGTGCACTAGAAACCTACACTGATCTTGTTCAGTTGCAGTTATTCAAAAGAACATGGCACAGTACACTCGATCAACTCTTCCAATGTCATAATTGTTAAGCACATGCCTGTTTAATACATAATGAATCAAATTTGTTATTAGGGTAGGGTAAATATTTTTCTGTGACTTGCATGACTGTTTCAGCTCATCTAAAGTCAGAATTTTTGTTAATCTATAAATGAAAACTTATCCTTTGTACATACATGTAACTCTTTTATGTTTAACTTCATGTATTTGAGGCAGCCGCTTAATTGGGGAAAAGTACTCCAGTCCCGATATGTTCTGGTAACTGTAATCTACTGTAGATAGCAAGTGCAATCCAGATACTATATTCCTGGCCCAGGCACAATACTCAGCACAAATTACAGGCATGGCCAGTACAAAACCACATTTTAAATCCATGCTTATACAGAAAAATTAAAATTGCCTGTCTATTTAAACTTCTCTGGGGACAGCTGAATGGTAGATTTCACATTGCAGTTATGAGGAGGGAAATAAAATTGGCAAGTAGAATCTGGAGATACATGTATATTATTACTGCTGTTGTTGTTGTTGTTGTTGTTATTATTATTAAATGAAAAATCGAACTTTTATTCAGTTAACATATTATTCATTGCTTTTGTTGGTGCAGAAAATTGTAAACAGCCACTCAATGGTGGCAGAACATAATGACAATGGAGATTATGAAGAAATGTACAATGTTCATAACTGACAAGACAGAATAAAAATTTTTTTGTCCTAATGCCAACATTTTCTTATCAGCCTAAAACATTCATCAGGAATAAAATTTAATAAAACTGATATGTATTACATAGAACACAAGTACAGGCAAGTATACATATATGAGGGTGGTTGCTGACATCTAGTAAAAGGCAAATATTTTTATGTTGGTATTTCAGAATTTATTCTTCAAGAAGAGAGATAGTTTTCACTGAAGTTCAAATGATTGCTTCCCCCATAACTGAATTAACCGACGTAGGAAGGAAGAACTTCATATTTATTGCTTACTCACCAGACTCTGTAGGCTTAAAAAACTTCACTGAACTCCAAGGTGGTCATGACAACTGCTGTTGATTTGACATGGAATTACCCAGTCATTCTATTATACATGCTATACAGTCTTGATATTGACAGCAGTGTTAAGACACTTAAAATATATGTTTCCCTGTTAGCCATGACTGCCCTCTATCTTGGGGTTATTGACACATCTCTCATATATCTTCAACTGTTGGCAGTTCCCCTTCATCTATGCTCTCACTTCCATTCCACACAGTTCCAGAACCAAACGACTGGTAACAACCATGCATGAATGGTTAACTTATTTTTCTTTGCATCCCACATCAGTCATGAAAGGGCAAGATTCTTTAGTAAGTTTTTTGATCAGTTAAATGACTGCAAGGTACTTAACAGCAATGCTTGAACCCTACAGGTAACCCGGCATGAGATGAGATGGGAAGATAAACATGAATAGCAAATACTACACATTTGAAAGGAGAGAGTTATGACCTATTCAAAGAACTGTCTTTGCATATGTCTGAAGAGATTGAGGAAAATCATGAAAAACCCAAGATAGGACATCCATGAAACATTCTGTCTCCAGTCTAAAGCAGTACCCCTACACCACTCTGCTCTGTACTGGGTTGCTTCTGAATTCAAAGTGTCCTTTGTTTGGAAACATTAGAGAGGTATGTTTATCAGTCAGTCATTCAACTGAACAGGATTCAAGCATGAGCATTCAAATTATTCACAGATTACTGAAACTCAGTTTGAACATTGTGTTCTTGGAGGTTTTCATAATTGTTTTAACTCCCTGTCACCAGCAGTAACAACATTGTAGATGTGTCAACTCCTAAAGTAGAAAGAACATTAACAGCACTGAATGTAGGGTCTCTTAGGTAATGTAAAGGCATTCATGTAAATATACATTTGAGTTACACTGGACGGTGCTGTTAACAAATTCTGTAATATCACCCTTAAATTATAAAATTATGTGAACCAACCTGACAGTAAGAACTGCAGTACCATTGGTTATGGCAAGCAGAGCACATGAACCTTGCAGTCCCACAGCAACGTCCACACACTAAGCGTGACTGTCGCTGGTAGTGGTCACCCTCTACAGTAACTGAATTTGGAGTCAATGTTGCAGTAGGTGGTATCTGCTTATCAGCTGACCAGTATCTGTCTCTGTCAGATGCTACAACATTTGCAGTGTGGAGTCCCGCTATATGAGCCCTCTGCTGCTCTTCTGGTTGAACACCATGAAACACTGTTTCATGATAAACTGGAATGTATGCACTGCGTGGTACGGGTCCATGTGCACTGCACACTGGATGGTGGGAATAATGCATTGTGTCATGATGTGTGGAGACATGCACACGCTGTCTATGCATAACACTATCATCCACGTTTTGATCATGTGGAGTTTCAAAACGTTTTTTTCCATCTGAACTTCCTGGTACTGTCACTGGATGAATGCTAGGTTTCATTCCTAATCTATAATTTTCAGTAGCAAGATTTGCTGTTGAAACTGATGTAACATGAGAAGGAATCTTTCTTTTATTACCTGTCTCAGATGCTTGAATCTGCTCTTGATGCCTCAAATTCTCTGTTGGTACATGCTGTGAGACATGGGATTGTGATATCTTTTGGTCACGGTGCAACAAGCCAGAATGATTTGTAACACTACACTCCTCTGGAGTTGGGTTAAGAATGTCTGTTGGCTGATCTTGTGTTCTTTGATGATGCTTGGGAGATGAGGAACTCAGACCAGCAACATTCTGTTCATCATTCATGTCCAGTTGCACAACTGTGGATGTGACTGAAGATGGTGATTTCTTTTTGTCTTCACTCAGTGACTTTCGTTTACAGATGGACAGGTCAATCGGACATTCTTCTACAGTATTACTGGGCAAACTGAGAGAAGCTGAAGATGAAGTAATGGCTACATGAGGTTCCTGCGATATGACTGAAGGCTGTTCCAATACACTGCCTCGTGGAATTACACTCACGTAAGGGTCTGACTGCCGTGAATGGACAGTAGTTGGCACAGAGGCAGTTTGATGTGATGTGCATCTACTTGTAGAATGTGTAGAGACAGGTATGTGAGAGCCTACTAACTGTGCCGATTTTGGGAGTACACGTTGTCGTATCAGAGTTGGAGGAGGCATTGCTTCTTTTTGCACTGGAGATGATTGTGGAATATTTTCTGTACTCCTCTGCTGCTCTGATAATACCTGAAATGGTTGGGTTCCAGATGGTGAATGCAGAGGCACTTTTAATCTTTGTTGATGAAATGGCTGTGATGCTGACCCTGGTTGAGAATGTGCAGATGTCTGAGACAGCTGTAATGATTGAGAATGCGGATAAATTGGAGACACTGGTGACAAGTGAGGGTGTGCAGATGTCTGAGATAATTGTAACGATCGAGAATGTGGAGATGTTTGAGACACTGGTAAGGAATGAGAATGTGGAAGTGCTTGAGATATTGGCAATGACTGAGAGTGTGGAGATATCTGAGGCAGTGGCAATGACTGAGAATTTTTAGATGCCTGAGATAATGGTAAAACCTGAGAATGTGGGAATATCTGAGAAACTGGTAATGACTGACTATGTGGATCTGTTTGTGGCTTTATTAATGACTGAGAATATTGGGATGCCTGAGATGCTGGTAATGACCGAGAATGTGGAGATGCCTGAGAGTTTGGTAACAACTGAAAACGTGGAGATATTTGAGACAGTGAAGGAGAATGCAGGGCTGCCTGAGGCATGGGTGGCAGCTGAGGATATAATGTTGGTCGAGGCATATATGAAAACTGTGGATGTATAGATGGCAGAGGTACTGAAAATAGTTTAGGATGTAGTTGTGGAAGTGGTGGGTGAACAGCTGTTACAGTATGAGAATGCTGTGGGCTCTGTTTTATTGACACATGATGGGGATGCAGTACCACTGTGTGAGTCTGGAGATAAGGCACTGACTGTGACTGGGAAAGTGTTATATGATGCGACATTGGTAACGTTTGGACAGGCGATGGTCGTTGAGGAAGTGATACCGGTGCTGGGAGTGGAGAACGAGCTGGCAGAGGTGGCGGTTGTGGAGACAATGGTCTTTGTATTGGTTCCCGATTCTGATGCCCTACTGTGCGATGTGACGTGAGCAATGCTGGTACAGAATTTTTTATAGTGGCTACAGTGGCATTCAGCCTTTGTTCTGACTGATGATTCTCATATGAGACTTTTGGATATGTCATGTGCAATCCTGGTATGGAATTTCTAGTAGTATCTATAATGGTACTTGGTCTTTGAGCAAACTGATGAGTCTCACATGGAACTGCTGACTTATAATGTTCACATGCAACTCCTGGCTGCCCATTCTTGCCTTCAACCCCTGACTCTTTATTCACTAATACAACTGCTGGAAATGTTACATTCACTCCTGATACAGAATTACCGGCATTGTCAGCAGTTATGTCTACTTTCTGTTGCATCTTATGATTCCTGGGTGATATTTCTGGCTGCTGATTCTTGTTTTCAAGTTCTGGCTGTTGATTCACCAGCGCAGCTGCTGGAAATGTTACATTCAATCCCGGTATAGAATTTCCAGTACTGTCTGAAGTAACATTCTGTTCTTCTTGGGTCTTATGATTCCTGCATGCAACATCTGACTGTTGATTCTTGTGTGCAACTGCTGGAAATGTTTCATTCAATCCTGGTATAGGTTTACCAATACTGTTTGAAGAAACATCCAACTTATGTTGTGCCAAATTATTTTCTCTTACAGCCATTGGAATTGTTGTATGCAATTCTGGCATGGAGCCCTCAGCGCTTGAAGAATGTGGTATCAGCTGTGTCTGACTATTCTCATGGGCAACATCTGACTGCCCATTTTCCTGCACAGCTGCTGAAAGAGCTGCAGTCAATCCTGATATAGAATTTCTAGTGCTGTCTGAAGAGATATTCACTCTCTCTTGTGTTTCATGATTCTCACGTGTGGTTTCTAAAGGCTTGGGTTTGCACGTAGCTCCAGACTCCTGATTCACCTGCACAACAGCTGGAAACGTTTTGTTCGATCTTGGTATTGCATTTCCAGTGCCATCTGAAGCAATACTAGACTTCTGTTTTATCAGATCCGTCTTATGTGTAAATCCTGTTTGAAGATACTCGTGTGCAAGTGCTGACTCTTTATTCTCACATTCAGCTTCTAACTGGTGAGTTTCACATGCACCAGATGTTTGCTGATTCTTGCAGCCAGTTCCTGATTGACAATTCTCACAAACATCAGCTGACTTTTGAGTCTTACTTGAAGCTCCTAATTGATGATTTTCATGTGTAACAGGGGATTGTAGATCCTCTGGTGCATCTCCTGATGGAGGATTTTCATATGCAACTCCTGATTGTTGACTTTCATGTGCAGCTGCTGACTGTTTAATCAAAAGTGTGACTCCTGACTGAAAATTGTTCTGTGGAACACATAACTTATGATTTTCATACATGTCTTCTGAATGACGATTGTCACATGTAGCTCCTGACTCATGTCTCTCACTGGCAGTTGGTGACTTCTGATTCTCCTGTGTGACTGATGGAAGTTTTAGCTGTAATTCTTGTGTGGAACTTCCATTATCATCGGCATTATCACTTGGTCTTTGGGCTGACTGATGATTATCCTGTATAACAGGTACCTGATGCCTCTCATGTGTAAATAGTGGAAGTTTTTCCTGAAATTTTGGTGTGGAATTTATGGTTGCTGCTGCAGTGGCACTTGGTACAGCTGGTCTTGGTTGAACAGTCTGAAAAGCAGAATCATACCAGTGCACATAAGAAAATTTAGAAAAACATAACATTAAAAATGAAACGCAAAACAAATTGCCCTTGAGGATCTCTTGGTGGTGATTATGAAAAGTAAAGTTTCCTGTGTTGTACCATCACACAGTTTGGGAAGAACTCTTCAACCCTGAAAATGGATGTGATATATTCCACCAAAACATCCGGCTCTCCCTGAAGTACATGGCATTACAAACTAGGAAACCATACTTTTCAAAAAAGAAGATATCTATTTGCAAAGGGAATAAGTAGAAGTAAAACGAAGATTAATTTAATTAGATTAAATATACCACATCCTAAGCACGTGAGGCACAGCAAGGAGATCAGTGATGATGGTAAATCACATACCTTCCCTGCCTTATGCACTTCTACAGCCTCCTCTGTGTGTTTTTGTTTTCTTGCCAATTCTTCTATTGCTTGCTCCTCAGCTAATTTCAGTCTCTGCAGATTCATTCTGGTGGTTTGTTTCAGCTGCTCCAATTTTTCCAGTTCTTCTGCAGCAGCCACAGCAGCCTTCCTGATTTCTTCTATATCCTTTGGGGGGTTCTTCTCTTTGGTTAGAGGATCAGAACTCTTTACTCTATTTTCAGGATTAGAACCCTGTGCTTTATTATGATGATTAAAACTCTCTCTTTCATTCCCTGGGTCAGAAGTGTCCGTTTGATTCTCAGGACCTGAAGCCTGTGCTTCACTCCAAAGACCAGAAGTGTGTGCATGATTATAATTTTGTGAAAGCACCTGCGGTGCCTCTGGAGCCATTTCTTGTACAGGGCTGCTGAGGGGTGATGGCACTTGATGGTTAGTTGATAATACGGTTGAATTCATCTCTGTTTTGGGTGAATGTGGTGAAAACGTGCTGAAGAGAGACAGTAACAATTTTATTAGACCAACAAGTAAGAAAATGTGTTCTACATGAATTAATATCACTAACAGTTTTTTTAATATAATCTAAGCAATTGCAAAGCCAAAAGATTAAGCTTCTTCCCAAATAAGTATTCAGACTGAGTTCTCATCCAAAAGCATAGAAAGAAACAATTTTGAACAATTCATGGGTATAGCTAAATTCTTTCAGAAAGAACTTATGATTGTACGAAGAAATTCAACTTTCAATTTATTAACATCCATGGATATAGGATATATATAGGACAAGTCAAATCATTTCTATATACAACACTTGATCATTATAGTAAATTAAAATAATAAAATAATAATAATACTGATAACACTAGTATATTAATTTTAATGCACACACAACACAGCAACACACCTTAATACACTTATCCCACTGTCCCAGCACAAGTTCTGAAACTTACTGATAAGCNAAAGCATAGAAAGAAACAATTTTGAACAATTCATGGGTATAGCTAAATTCTTTCAGAAAGAACTTATGATTGTACGAAGAAATTCAACTTTCAATTTATTAACATCCATGGATATAGGATATATATAGGACAAGTCAAATTATTTCTATATACAACACTTGATCATTATAGTAAATTAAAATAATAAAATAATAATAATACTGATAACACTAGTATATTAATTTTAATGCGCACACAACACAGCAACACACCTTAATACACTTATCCCACTGTCCCAGCACAAGTTCTGAAACTTACTGATAAGCATTAATAATACAATATTATATTTAAGCATCCTGTTGCACTCCATACGATACATGATACAAACTCCATCTTCAGTGCAAACCATATATTATAGGTCTTTCGTTTTATAAGTGCTAATTCAGAGAAATCAAAATTGACATGTGTAAATAACAAAGACATCAACGAAGTAGATTTTGGTAATAACGACAAAAGGAACAATCAGGAATACCTGTGTTTTTAAATTTTAAATGTTAAACTAAGTGCAGTGTGACAGATACGTGAGTAATACACCTGATGATGGCCGTTTGTTTCTATTTATTTTGTGAAAATATCAAAGTAATGGTGACAAATAGCTGCATTTTCATACCACCTTGACTGTGGGGCAATAAGACTGTTGCTGCACTGTGCAATTCCCGGCATTAAGCCCTGGCTGCTATTCACTGCTGTCAGTGTTTGCAAGTAGGTAGGAGAAGGACGACATGGTCCCATTCCAGCTGGATACTGTGCTGATGGTCTCACAACCTGGGGCTTAACTGGCCGCTGTGGGATCATGTATGAAGGCTGAAACAGCCTGCAAGGAGAAATGTCAATTATCATGCATTTTTCCCAAAATGCAATTCAGAACAACCTTCCCACTCTTCTACGGACAGTGGTGGCAACATGCGAGTTTCCACAAGTTCGGTAGAAACTGTTGTTACAATTTGGTTAACCACAGAACCTGTTATTAAGAGTTTTTTTTAAAGATAAGAGAGAAAAAATGGAATAATATACAGTTATTAAACAAATAAATTACTGGGACACATGGCAAATATGTTTCATTGGTAACAGCCCTCCCATACAGCAAAAGAAAGTCTTCGGCCTGTAGTTCGCAAGCAAATTATACCAACCGAGCGACTGCCGCTTGTCGGCGAAGTCAGAGCCAACTTTTGTGGATAGAGGGTTTCATGTGGTCAGCGCAACAGATCCCAAGGCCGTTAATCTCTGTTTTCTACGCCAGAGCCACTATTTCCTTGAAACAGCTCCTCATGAGGCTGAGTGGATCCCGTTCCAGACCCACTACTTCTCACAAAATTTGGTAGCCCCGGGAATTAAACCCAGAACCTCTGGATATGTAGGCAGGAACTCTGACCACTAGACCACAAAGGTGGTCCTCCAATACAGCAACAAATGTGAAAAATAAAAAGGCTGTGTATGGCTAGTCTTTTGTAAAAAATAAACAATTTATTTCAGGCAGGTTTTGCCACTGTACACATGTATTGTGTCAGTATGTTTGTTAAGAACCATATAATTTGAGCTTCTGTTTCACAGCAGACCTTATATTGCCTCGTATGATTTCTCATTCTGAGGATGATGGCACTGCCTTGTGTGGATTGCAAAGGTAAGAATAGATTCTTATGATATGATGGAGAGGTAGAAAACATGTTTTTTATTATATTGAAAATCTCCATTTATTATGTTTTATAAAATACAATGCTACTTAAAACTTATGACATTTATTCAGCTCTCCCTAGGTAATCTTATATAAACTACTCCATAAAATGGCATTTCCTAAAACTTGAACCAGAGCCCCCATTACACATATATCTCTGTAGGGTTTGTCCGATGTCTTCCAGAACAGAATTATCAGCATTGGTATTTTTCAAGCATGTTCACCTGTTCTTAAACCTTGTGGGTTTTTCATCTGGGGTTATCTGAAAGACAAAGTGTACAACAGTAACCCCAAAATGGAAGAAAAGAAAATATTTGCAAGGGAATTTCAAATATTCCTGCAGAACAGCTTCAAAGGGCAAATAAGAACCTCTTCTGCCAATGTAAGGAATGTCTGCATGTAGAGGGACAACATTTCCAACACCTCCTGTAATCTGTGAATTGTAACTACTTCATTCCAAACGTTATCAGCCAACATGCATATTGATTCATTGCCAAAATTTGTATGTGCCTTGAAGATGGTAGTGCACTGGCTGCCATGAAGGGTAGAGCCTTGAAATGGTCAACAAAGGTAAGAACCTCCCTGTATAATAAACGTGCTTAAAAAGCTCTGGTTATACAAAAACCTGTCGTTAACATAGTGGGATGATACCAGTATCTACAGAGATAGAAAAGCAGATAAAAAACACAAAAACCAAGATTGAAAATGCATCTAGCGTTCCACAATTGCATTCAGATTTGCGATAACAGGACAGACAAGAGGAGCAACAGTTCAACATATAATCATATTAATAAATTTTTATATAGTTTAATCTATGGAATAGTATACTGATCTGTACAAATAGTTAAGAAGCTAACAACGCAATGACTGAAATTAAATCTTCGTCTCCTGGTGAAAGTGATTTATTAAAATAACATAAAAATCCTTTCGATGTATAATTGCAAATTTTTTCAGTAGACCTGGTATTAGATATATGAAGTAAGGTAGCTGGTCTGATTTCTATTCACAATCTTCTTTTTATTTCATTATTTCTTTTAATGTGTTTATAAATGTAAAGCTATCCCTGTAACAGGCCATGAAGGCTCATAGGGTTGTGAGAGGTCAAGGCTCCCACATCTTCTAGACAGTTGGCTCATGGATGGCAGTAAGGTTGTCAGCCTTACGCTCTGGCCGCCCTTTAATCCCCAGGAAGATTCCTGGTACTCATTTCTGTTAGAGGCCGAGTCGACCCCAGGGCCATAGTGGGGTTGGAAAGATTAGGTAAACTGACAAAAGTCCACCTCATCAGGACTTTCTCCCTCGACCTTCCAGTTTGTAGCATAGTGCCTCAACCAACTATGCTATTGTGTGCCCCTAAAAGATGAAGTTGTCCCTGTGCTTAACGAATTAAGCACTAGGACATGAAGATGTATGGGGGAATGGACGTATATATCCACATTTTCTTGACCCTGGCACTAGTTGCAGGTGAGTGGTCAGCTTCACACCCTGCCGCTTTACCCCGAGGAAAGAGCCCCGGTACCCATTGGACAGGAGGATGAGTGGGCCCCAGAGTTGGTCTGGACACTGTGGAGAAGAGAAAATTCTTGATTCTACCGGGGCTTGAACTCTGACCCCTCGGTAGTCCAACCTGTAGCCAGTCACTATACTGACTGCACTATCCCAGCTCCCCTAACGTGTTTATACACTGGCCACATCCTTAACTTATGATGAGTATCACACTTCTGTGCTATGTTTGCAATACTGTTTCATATAAACAAGAATGCAATCAAAACACTAGATGCTGTGGATCAAAAGGTCAATAACATAAAACTTAGTGTATATGAAATGAGACATTTATGAAATTTACCCATGCTGTGGCAACCTGGAATCAAACGTTCCTGGCTGGGGAGCAAGAGGAGGTATGTATCCAGATGTTTTTAACATGTTCTCTCTATGGTAGCTGGTTGGTTGATGTGTCAAGTCAAATGGCCTTTGCTGTGTATGTCTTGGAACTCGATGACATGCCTCCTGTGACATGGCTACTCCCATTCCAAATCCTGTATCGAATGATGTCGCTGCATGGCGTGCCATTGTGGCAATGCGATCTGAGTACGCTTTATCTGGATTGCCATAGGGTGGGGCAGACAGCAGTGTTTCTGAATGGCCACCGGTACTCTCCTCGACTTTCCTTGCTGGCAAATCTGAAACTGTATATTGTGCTGTTTAGAAATATAACACACAGATGGGCTTAGCCAATGACAATGAACAGTGAACATCACAGCAACCATATGATTCCACTAGGAAAATGCGTTATGAGTGCAGGATAGAACTGACTGTAGGGTTATATCCAATAATGAACTTTGGTATAGTTATTAGCAGTATCAGACCTTTGTGTTCTACTACCAGGAGTTAACACAGGTTGGCGTAGTGGTAACAATTCAGACTCCTATTCTGGTATTAGCTGATCTGAATCTCACCCATACCAGATATCCTGAGTGAGATTCTCCACAGTTCTCTTCAGATGAATGCTAAGATTATAACTTCCACCTACAATTGGTTCCAGATCTTTTACTGCTGTAAGTTCACATGCAATATACAGTTCCTTTCAGTCTTGCTATTCTAGTAGATACTGAAGGGTTCTGATTGATGATGGTGCATATCACTCAGAATTACTGGGTTTTCGGATTAGTCCATCATCTGGTGTTATAAAAAATAGTTTCAGAAACTGGATCTGTTTCCGTCCTCAGGTAAAAAAGGAGACACCTACTCTGTTAGGTCCTGTAGGAAGAGTTAACCTCAATCACTGGACAACCCATGCCAGTTTAACTACAGCTCTACAAACACCTGAGACCAGGCTATGTCAAAGAGAGATAACAGGGGAAATATACAGTAACAGGCAGACTTCTAGCCACGCGGCACTGTAAACGGGCACAATCTCAAAGAGAAGCTTCTAGGAAAATCAAAATTAGCCCTAACATGCCTATGAAGAGGTTCACAGGGCAGGCTTGGATGAAGCTTGGATTTTGGAAATTGAATGTGACAGCAGGTATAGGAAATACAAGAAATCGGCCCATATGGCATGCTTAACCAATCTGGACATTCCTCCCATCTGGATCCCCCTTTTCTGCAATGAGGGTACCAACTCACGGAGAATATCAGTATGATGTGACAGATTTTTCATGGGTTTCTATGAGGTTTTAGTCTAGTGTTCAGTTTTTACTCCACAGATGGCCATAGTGGTAGGTACAAAATGGTTTCACGAATTCTCCATTGAATCCTATGCATTTGTTTCCATGCACTTGGTTTGTTGCAAAGGTTTGTTGCATAAATTTTCACTCCCCTTTCTTTCTCAGTTTCTGGTCCGTGCATGCTTCGTCACAGTTTTTATTGCATATTTTCCTGTTAGATCCCGTCTACATAGCCTGGAAACAAACGTTTATGAAAATTTATCTGAATATATGATTGTATAGGTAATCTAATATTCTACCGGCAATGAAATAAAAATGGCGATAGGCTCGACATAAAGTTCAAATGGGGGCTGAAGAAATGCATACGAGTAATTTTCGTGGGGGACACGTCACGGAAGACCGAGGATGAGACGGGAGAATAATACGAAATTGAGATGAGTCTCCTAGGGACAGGCTGTGGGGAAGGAAGAAGGTTTTTTTTTCCTGAATGGATGTCATCTCCCTGACTGACTAGGGCCAAACAGGTGACGTGACTATCATCGCTCAGTTAGAAATGCGCATCAGCAACCACTGCGACACCAGCGTTGCGCGGGATAGGTAAGGATAAAACTTGGTGAGCTTTTACATATTCCAAAACAAACATCATGACCGCATGTCTCGAATTTACCGATAAATTAAGTAATGAAATCTTGGAATTCTTTTTCGACGGCCCCGTATTGCAATGCATGTTTTGTGGGGTGAAGGAGGGGGGTGGGGTCTAGATTTATGCATTTTCACTTTACCCAGTCATTTCCAGTAACTTGTTTACAGCGTACGAAACCGGGATGTACATGTATATTTGGTTCTCGTTATAATCACGTTAAAGGATTTCGTTCCCTTGTAACCCAACCTAAACCACGGCATTTAGAAAGTCCATGCTAAGAACGACAATCTAATATTGGTGTATCGCTGTGAATAAGCCGTCCCTGAATACTGCAATTATTAAGTTATTTAACAAGGTTACAGCTCAGTTTTATTGGAGGCAGAATTCTGAAATATGTACCAACTGACGGAGTACTCCAATTGCAGTATTTACTTGTACAAGTGCTCAACTCGCCTTCTTTCTCAACACGGCACGTATGCCAACGGCAGTATTTCCCTCCAAATCCAGCTAAGTTCGACTTCACACACACTGCTATGGTTAATGTAATCCGAATCGTAAATTCTTCATTTCTGTTAGCAATGAGAAGTCCAAAGGTGTTTTAAAAGACCTTGATGGCCATGGAATTTGGCCACTACGACCAATCAATTTGCCGAAGTAACTGTAATCAGGAATTTTCGTTCTAGACCAACGCCTCGCAAAGCTTGAGATAACAAAACAAAAAAAAAAACTTCCGGATAAACATATTGCAGACGTAATAGCAGGTTTTACTTTATAACTTGGCAGTGTATATGAAGACCAGTTCCATGTCTGCTTGAGCTCACAGAGGGCTAGTTCCTCTGTGTCTGACAGATGGCGTGCGTCAGTCTCGATGCATTACCCGATAACCACATGTACATACTCCCTTCAACCTGGAAGGCCACGTGCCTGTAATTTTATCATCCAAGAGCAAGGTGGCCCAGTTATATCCCCAGACACTGGATTCATTTTTCGTCGCCTCCTGTGGCTACTGTGGAGGTATTCGAACCCGCCTTCACACGGGCTGACCTTTTGTCGAAAGTCAAAGCCAAAGTTACTTTATGACTGGCGGTTTACCGTCAATCAGATTATCTTGGCGTCAAGCCCCTTGAGCACGAGCAAAGATTTTTTTCGTCAACTGAACCCTTGCGGTAATAGTCCTTATGTAACATCCTCTCGGACGAGAAGATGGCTTTGTCTCTTACGAATATGCTTGGCATTTCCTCAAGTGTACATTTCGCACATATAGCGTGTTACTGAAAATTCTTCCTTTTGCACTATACACTATACACGCTTTGCATAGCAGATCATGCATATCTTGCGTGCAGCCTTTTGTCAACTCCCGCTGGTCCTCATTCTACACTCTCGGGACAGACCGCATAGAAAACACCGTCTCTCACAGTTCTTTTTTCCTCCCACATATTTATTATACATCATCTTCAGAGTCTGCTATAGTAAATGTATATTTTCAATAAGTACTGACTCGTGAATGAGTTATGCCAAGTGGCGTAACTCATATACTCCTTTTTCAGTTACGAATAATTTAATGCTTGTATTGGGGTTTTACTCAGGTCTGTCTGGTAGAGTTAGGACGATATATCTGTATAAAAAGTAAAGCTATCCCTGTACCAGGCCATGAAGGCCCATAGGGTTGTGAGACGTTGAGGGTCCCACACTATCTAGACAATCGGCTCGAAGATGGCGGTAAGGTTGTCAGCCTTACGCGCCGACCGCGTTTTACTTCCCAGGAAAATTATTTAATTAATTCCTGGTACTCATTTCTGTTAGAGGCTGAGTAAATCCCAGGGCCTAGTGCAGCTGGAAGGACCTCATCGGGACTTGAACCCACGACCTTCCGGCTTGTAGGATAGCCCCTCAACCAACTACGCTACCGCGTGCCCCCTTTTGTATATGTGTAGTTTCGCTATTTTATAGTAGGTTCACTGCTAGTGCACTGGTGCGGTTTTCTAATTTTCTTTCGGGAACTTTGATATTCGACTTCAGTTCTCCTGTTGCGTAAATATCCGTTGCCCCGGATACACGTTTACTAAGTCGTTACCCAGCAGCGGAAATTGTTTTCTGGCTCCATGATTTCGGCCCTTCGGCTGCCATGTCAATATGTTTCTCTTGTACTGCATGATTTCAGCAATCGAAATGCACTTTAAATATTACTACAGAACCTGATATTTCGTTACCGACAACACAAAATCCCGCCGTTGCACCCTAATTTGAGCCAGATCAATCCTGTTCGCACACATATAAATTATATTGCTCATTTCTCTATAGTAAAGCGCTAACTATGTCCGAAGTTGATGTGTTACTGTACAAAGTTAACAGATAACAGAAGAGCTACACGATGTTCTGATACTATTCGCGAGACTTCCTGCTACTGTATAAAAATCTGTTTGGTCCGCTATACTAAAGCGTCAATATCCGTGACTGTACAGACGACAGACAGGTGAGCTCATCATGTCGTGTTACCATCTCTGAACCATAGAGGCGCTGTTTACCGGGACGGTATGATTGTCTGCAAGAGGAAGATGTTGAGCACTAAACGTATCTAAGATTAATGGCAAAACGGAAGCTATAATTTTAGGATAATAAACGATGATATAGCGCGTGCCCAAACAGTGCAAAATATATGTAAGCTGCTCTCATTCCTTTAAATGGAAACAGAAGGTGAAGGCCCGATGACAAGTAGCACCCTGTGTGTAGTCAGAGAAGATATAAAATAAAATCACTATTGATTTAGCATGAGGTGATGACGATAGCAGTCTTATCACTGCAGTGTCTCTTACTATCTTGTTGACACTGTGATATGTTCAAGTCAATGTAAGTAGCATGCGATAAGGTAAAAAATGTGTTAACTCGACCACATATTTGGGGTAAATACGCGAGCAGGAAGATGTTGGTAAAAGTAAATACCCGGAAGTACTCGTATACTGCAACCTCTTACTTATATTTTAATTACGGTTATGGTTTTGAGGTTAGTTACATTTTGTCGCATTTTTTTGTAGTAGTATACTTGCCGGGATAGTCAGTTGGGAATTTCTGCCTCAGATTTTTAAGAAGACATGACTGTACACAGGTTTTCTCAGAATCAACCATCGAGTAGATATGCAGAACAGTTATATATGCGTGAGAAATATGCATGTGGGACTATCCTTATCAGATATGTTATGATACAGGATTCAAAATACCGTAAATTTGAATTTGGGAATACCAGTGGCCCTGAAACATTCTTTAGGGGCACTGTGACAGTTCTGTGTTCTTTGTACGGAGCGCATGCATTTGACGCATTACAGACGTTACGTGCACGTGCGTTACTTATATCTCTGAAAATATTCAATAATTGGTATTT